TTTCGACTTCCATATAACTGCCAGTCACGAGGACGCGTCAGTCCAGTCCAGACCCAACGTCTGGAAAGCAAACATACCAGACGTCATGCACTCAGCATCGTTGGTAGATTGGACAATAGACCCAGAGTCCTCCATTGAAACGGCCTGGGACGCATTTCGAAATTCATACTTAAAAGTTACCACACCTCACATCCCTTGGACTATACCAAAGGGGTCGAAAAACTCTCCACCATGGTTCAGTAGGGAAGTCCGTATCCTTCTCCGTAAGAAAAGGAAAATGTGGGATAGATTTAGGTTACTGAGAACTGACGAGTCAAAATCTCAGTATCGAAAGGCTCGGAATACTTTATTATTATTATTATTATTATTATTATTATTATTATTATTATTATTAGCTTTATTCAATATTATAATTTTGGTACAATATAGAATTCTCAGCGCAAAGTATTTCAACAAGTTTCCGTTTCTTTCTTCGTGGTCGGTCCTGGCGATAAATATTGAGGAATCGCCAGTTAGATGTTAGCACTTCAGTGAATGAACAACTGAATAATGTACATTCTTTTCGTTGTACATTGCCAGCAACCATATGGTCTCTTATTGAGTTTTCTGTAACTTTGACAACGAAAGGTTGTACACTTTTCAGAAACGCAGCAGAATAGGTTATGCGATTAATAAACATAATGATATATTAAAACAAACAACAATAGATAACTTGTTGAAATATCTAGATGGCAGGAACAGGTAGCCCAGATGCTCAAGCAGGCCGCCTCGACCCTCCGTAAGTCTAGAAAATTGTACGAAGGAAAACTTGTTAAGGAATCCATAGAATGTCCTAAACGCTTGTATTCCTGTATAAACCAAAGGACAAGGAGAAAAGGAAATATTCCCTCTGTATGGGGAGACAGTACTGCTGCATCATTAGTGGAGGACGGCTTTGATAAGGCTCAAGTGTTTTCGAACTACTTTAGCAACGTATATACCATAGAAGCGCCCTTCCCGTCAGCGTATACAGATCCCCCCATGCATACACTGGATAGCGTGACCATTAAAGAACTCGATGTCTTTGGTCTGCTAAATAAGCTTGACATATGTAAATCCACGGAACCCGATGAATTACATCCTAGGCTACTGAAGGAATTATCTAACTTCGTTGCAAGCCCTTTAAGTACATGCTTTACCTATCCGTTACGCAAAGTCGTTTACCAAAAGACTGGAAAAACGCCATAGTAAGTCCTGTCTTCAAAACAGGTACGAAACACAAACCTGAGAACTACCGCCCCGTTAGTCTAACTAGTGTGGTTGTTAAAATCTTAGAAAAGATTATTCGGAAGGAGCTGTTTAAGTATCTCGATGAAAACCGGATTCTCTCGGAGAAGCAGCACGGTTTCAGAATAGGTTATTCTGTCTCACTAACTTATTAGTGGCTCGTGAAAGCTGGTGCGCTCTTAAGGACCAAAAGCTACCTGTAGACGTCGCCTTCATTGATTTCAGCAAAGCTTTTGACAAAGTTCCACACAACCGGCTGTTACATAAGTTAAGAAAAGTCGGGATTGGAGGCAATTTATTGATGTGAATGAAAGACTTCTTAGTTGGTTGAACTCAAAGTTATCTAGCTGGGAAACTGTGCTTAGCGGAGTGCCCCAGGGTACAGTTTCGGGGCCAGTGCTATTCCTCTTGTATGTAAATGACCTTCCTTGTCTCCTATCATCATCGGTCTTGCTATATGCTGACGATGTCAAGATATGGAGAACGATACGATGTAAGAGTGATAGCTTAGAACTTCAAAATGACCTGAAGAAGTTATCTGAATGGTCTCAAACATGGCAGTTGCCGATAAATACTTCCAAGTGTGTTGTGATGCATATCGGTCATCAAGGCACAGATACATACACGATGAATAACACTGAGCTACCTGTCGTCCAGGCATATAATGACTTAGGAGTTATCGTTAGTCAAGACTTAAAGACTACTGCACACTGCCGTGCAATAGCCGCCAAAGGTTTTAGAACCTTATGGTCAATACGTAGGGCTTTTAGTCATGTCGACGCTAAAACGTTTTTGACTTTGTATACAGTGTTCGTTCGTCCTAAACTTGAGTACTGCATACAAGCGGCTAGCCCCTGCTTAAAAAAGACAGTGAGCTTCTGTAAAGGTTCAGAGAACGGCGACTAAGCTGATTCCCGGAATAGCGAAGCTTCCGTATGAATCTCGACTGGCCAAGCTGAACCTTTTCCCGTTGTCATATCGCAGAACTAGAGGCGACTTGATTACAGTCTACAAATTGCTTAGTGATAAATTTGCACCTAACATGCCCTCATTTTTCTTGTCTTCCAAAACAGAGAATTTACGAGGACACTCCAAAAATGTTCATAAGCCGAGAACAAATTACTTGTCAGCTGACTATCGACTTTCCCATCGAATCATCAACGAGTGGAATTCACTACCTCAGCACGTAGTTGAGGCTCCATCCGTCGACTCTTTCAAAAGAAAGTTGGATCAACCGAGAGACCACCATTACCAGGACTAACATAGGCCATGGAGCCTCCTGTCCTTCCCACAAAACCGACACACATTGATTTGCAACATGTTCCGTCACTGCTGGACCTCGCTCTCATTCACCACTGTGGGGATGTCTTTGATATCCAGCACCTTCTCCGACTAGTGAACAGTGATCACGTTGTAAATCACTTTAAGTTTAGGACACATGGTATACAATTCGTATCTGCTCCACCCCGTTCCAATATTTGGCGAGCTAATATTCCGGAAATCAGAAACCGTGCTATCTCGTCCGATTGGTCGGTCGACGCGGATGGATTGATCGAAGATGAATGGAATAAGTTTAAGGCTACATTCGAGTCCGTAACGTCGCCGTTTATCCCATGGTCAGCACGTAAGCCATCACATTGCCCTCCATGGATTAATAAGGAAACCCGGAAGCTGTTAAAGCGTAGGAAACATTTCTGGGACTTATTCTTGTTGACAAGTCATGCACCATTTAAGCGTGAGTACCGAAAATTCCGTAATATCTGTAAGAAAACCATAGCCAAATCCCGTACCACTTACGAACGACGGTTAGTATATGACAGCCGTACTTGTCGGAAACGATTGTTTTTGTATGTTAAACGGCGGACAAAACGTAGTGATGGTATTCCCCCGTTACTGTTACACGAAAATTCAGAATTACTAGCTGAATCAGATCGAGCAAAAGCTGAGACTTTTTCAAACTATTTTAGCGAAGTCTTCTCCACGTTTGTTGTAACAAATACTTGTCCCACTCACACCGAGATACCAACCATTTAATCTGTACAGGTGACTGAGGAAACTGTCCTTCCGTTGATGACTAACCTCAAACCTGGTAAGATACCGGGCCCTGACGGGTTATATCCACGGTTGCTATCATCTCTTGCGGACATTATTTCGAAACCGCTTGCGACACTCTTCAACATGTCCCTTTCACTCCCTCAACTCCCTAGAGATTGGAAGGACGCTACAGTTAATCCTATATTTAAGGACGGTCAGCGACAGATAGTATCTAACTACCGGCCTGTTAGTCTAACTAGCATAGTCGTTAAGTTACTTGAAAAGATAATTCGGGTTAGGTTGCTAAACCACATAAATTTACACAATCTGTTAGCTCCTGAGCAACACGGATTTCGTAACAAGCGTTCATGCTTGACTAACTTGCTTATTGCGAGGGAGGATTGGACAGCAGCCCTAGATAACGGTCTGTCTGTCAATGTGATATTCATAGATTTTAGCAAAGCGTTTGACAAGGTTTCACACGTAGGTCTTATGCAGAAGCTCACGAGCTTCGGAATAATAGGTACTGTACATGAGTGGATAGGAAATTTCTTATGTGACCGCAGACAGAGAGTTAGGGTCAATGGAACGCTATCCGATTGGAAGCCGGTCAAAAGTGGTGTACTCCAAAGCACCATCTTAGGCCCTCTGCTCTTCCTTCTCTACGTTAATGAGTTACCGCTGTTAGTTAGGTCGTTGACATTATTGTTTGCAGATGATGTAAAAATCTGGTGAACAATAAAAAGTGCGGCTGATCATCTGGATCTTCAAGCTGACTTAGACGATTTAGTTAGATGGGCTCGAGAGTGGGGCTTAGAAATCAATGCTAGGAAGAGTGTACTAATGCACATCGGTCACGGTAATAGTTACCGTTATACTATTGAGGGTAAACCTCTTCCATGCGTTCAAGAGCATAAAAACTTACGAGTAGTATTAAGTCATGATTTAAAAACAACTACGCATTGCAAAGCAACCGCTGTCAAAGGTTTTCGAGCGTTATGGTCACTTCGCCGAGCGTTCAAATCTTTTGACGAGGAAACGTTTCGAATTTTATATCCCACCTATGTAAGACCACACTTAGAGTACTGTATCCAAGCAGCTAGCCCGTGTCTGGTAAAGGATACTAACTCCCTTGAGCTTTTCCAGAGTGTGGGAATGAAATTAGTGAAGGATCTTTCTAGACTCCTTTACAATGAACGCTCAAAACGCCTAGACCTTTTCCCTTGTCGTATCGTAGGACACGAGGTGACCTTATACTGGCATTTCGTATCTTTAATTATGATTTGGGTGTTAATATGTCTTATATTTTTGCTCCCTCCAGCACTAATAATCTCCGAGGTCATAGCAGGAAGGTTCATAAACCACGATCTAATAAACTTAAAGTGGGGTTCCGTTTTTCTCATCGAGTAGTCAGTCATTGGAACGCCTTACCCGAACAAGTGTTATCAGCCCCATCAGTGAATACTTTCAAGGAAAAGCTGGACCTTCACTGGAGAGCAGTGCGTCAGGATTAACACAGGTTCATCAACCAACTATCCTTATTACTGAAGACTGAAGACTGGACCATTTGAACCTTCGCACTTTTTGGCGCACACACCCCATAGCGCTACATTCCGCAATCTGGTAGCTCATTCACAAGTGATTCTATGTGCTTTTAATCCCTATGTTATCTGCTTGGACATAGGAGTTAGTCATTTGTGATGTTTGGTGGGATTGAGTATTTGTTGTTGAAAAAGTGTAAAGTAGTCCATCTGCGACATGTTGCAAACTACAGTTACAACTTAGGAAACTCCTCTCTAGTAGTATCCCAAGTCGAAAAAGATTTAGGAGTCCTGGTGCCCCATGATTTAAAGTCTTATGCTAACTGTGACAAAAATGCCTTGCGAGCAAACCTTGCACTGGTAACGTTGAAGCGCATTTTTGGACAGTTTGACGGACGAACTTTCCATACAATCTTCAATAGTTTCATCCGTCCCCATTTAGAGTACGGAAACATAGTACTCCCTCCCTCACTCCAAAAGGACAAGACCACTTTGGAGCGTATCCAACGTCGAGCCACGAAATCAGTTCGAGGACTCAAATCTAAACGTTACGAAGAACGCCTCCATTCACTAGACCTTTACCCACTAGAGTATAGGCGTCTTAGAAGTGATTTATTAATGGCTTATAGTATTCTTAACACTTCTGGACATCCTCTTAAACACCTACTTAAGCTTAGTTCGAATAATAACCTAAGGGGTAACACCCAGAAACTGGAAACACAACATAGCAAGACGGAATGTAGACACAACTTCTACTCCTTAAGAGTTGTCAAAATCTGGAATTCGCTACCAGCCGAGCTAGTCCAAGCGACTTCTCAGGAGTCCTTCAAGAGGCAACTTGATCTATTCTTAAGGACCAAAGACAGCATCACACTATGATTTACCAATTTCTTTTCCTTTTTTATTGTTAACATACCTAGGTCCCTGCCTGGAGGATTTGGTGATCCCCTGCTACTAGACACGGAAGCCTGTTAAGCGAAAGCTTCTTCTATTCCGTCCACAACCATTTGAACCATTTAGTTGGCAACGTGCTGTTTAATCAGTACGTTGCTTTATGTTTTATTATCTACCATATTCAGTAGGATACTTTGTTACTATCCCATTAACAAAACCATTTTGTCCCACAACTCAATACATGCACTGGATGATTACTTGCGCAACGTAACTGACAGCAATAGTGGATTATTACACGATTCTGTTGGTTGGTTGCGGAGTATCAGGTTGGATTTAATCTACAATTATAATTGTAGATTTAATAATTATAATTATTTGTCGTAACATACTGGAAATGTGAACCCCTCAATTTTCATCCTATAACTTTATTAGTATTCTACCTTTTAATGTCCACTGATCGACTTAGAATACGCAGATGACATAGTCCTGTTTGGTGAAGACGCTGACAAAATGCAGTCTTTTGGTAGCACTAAGCAACAATGCCAGAATGTTTGGAATGCGCTTCTCTCCCTCTAAATGCAAGTTGTTGCTTCAGGACTGGCCCGCGTCAACATCTGAACTAAGTATAGGGAGTGAAGTGGTCGAACGCGTTGACAACTTCACTTATCTTGGAAGTTTGATCATCCCTAATGGATTAGTGTCTGACGAAATCTCAGCACGGATTCGAAAAGCTTGTTTGGCTTTTGCCAACTTGCGTCACCTTTGGCGAAAGCGAGATATCCGTCTATCAATAAAAGGACGAGTATACTGAGCAGCAGTTCGTTCTGTTCTAATTTACGGCTGCGAAGCGTGGCCATTACGGGTAGAAGATACTGGAAAGCTACTAGTATTTGACCACAGATGCCTTAGAAATATTGCTGGCATCTGCTGGGATCACCGGGTAAATAATAGTGAGGTTAGACGCAGGGTATTAGGGAATAATGGTAAATCAATTGATGAGGTTGTGAATCTTCATCGACTGAGATGGTTGGGCCACGTGTTACGTATGCCCGAACACCGATTACCACGACGTGCAATGCTAACCGGTATTCGGGATGGTTGGAAGAAAGTTAGGGGCGGCCAAACCAAAACGTGGCATCAGTACCTGAAGTCACTAACTTCTAGTCTGAGCCATGTTGGTAGATGCAGACTACTTGGTTGGGGTCCACGTGACTATCGTAACCAATGGTTGGAGACTCTTGGTGACATGGCTCAGAATCGATCACAATGGCGTCGGTGTATACACTCTCTGTCTTCCCTTAAACTAATAGATTAAAATCTCTTCATATCTTTCTTTCTACCAACTAATTCTTTCTTCCTGTACTGTATCCTTATTACAATCTTTCCTTTATATATTACCACCCCTGAATTAACTACTTTTATGAATCTGGCGTTCATATTGTTGTGTTAATGAGGTATGGCAACTTGGACCGATGCACATATGTGCCTGGTCCTACGTTGTAGCTGACTAACTTATAAAAAGTTAGACTATTAATAACATTACTAATGTCACTTCAGAGAATTTATTTCCAAGAAGCCCTCAAACAGCAAAACATACCTATCGGAATACATATATATTCCGTTACAAGTTAACCTTTGTAGGTAGAGATTGAAATAGTGACACCTCTTAGTATAACTGTAAAGTGTCTACCGATGTTTGTACTGTATCTCAGAAACCTTTATTCGAAAATTAAAGTTGGCGTTGTGGATTCATTCCCGGTATGTTTATTCGAAATTTTTGTTTTATGTCCTCATACCCGGAGAGCATGTGACATTGCGTTCCATCCTCGCACTAAGTATTGGAGCGTAAAGAAGTTGGAATTAATCCCTTTCTAACATTTTAGGTGCTTTTAATTTGCAAGATTTAGACAGATATTGAAGTGCTAGCTATGGACTTAGCTGCTCAACCACTGATATTGTCGAATTTATCGTCAAAAGCAGTGACCTTCATCCAGTATATTTTTTAAGAAGACAATGATTTATCCATTATTGATTCTGTAGAAACTGAGGATTTTATTACCTATCAAAATGCTGACAGTTTGTAACCAAATAATCATTCCTTAAAAATCCGTGCTCATCAATTATTAATAAACAATGTCTAACCAGCAAAAATGATCTTTATCTGATAAGCTACCCACTTTTACACACGAATTATTCGACTTTTAGACGCACAATACTAGTTTCACTACCAAAATAGATGATGACCACTCATCCATCAGTTAACTAACTTCTCCTCTTAAGACCTATTCCTGGTCCATTTATCTGATGCAAAAATTAACGTACATTTAAGTGTATTTGCCAAGTTCATGTACGACTATTTTTTTCCTAAGTTTTCAGATAACGGTTACTAAATGGCGTGAAAAGAACTATGGACGCCATTGTTGTTTTGTGTCATTTCTGTGAACAACATGGTCCATCAGTAATAATGTGTACCCAGTCATTTAAACAATCACAATCAAATTTATCTGTAAATAATGTACCCGATGTTACTACTGCCAACGCTAATAATAGTAACAAAGATGTAAACACATATCAAAGAAAATTATCTAATCATGCTCTACAAAGTAGCGATGATGCAATTCTTACTGGGATAGATGTTTCGCCTATCCCTTTACCATCTTCATGTATGTAGTTTTGTTGCTTATGTGTTTTTGTTTTTTCTGCCTGTAATGGGAGGTTTTAAACCTGATATAATTAGTTTGTCACTTCAGGTTGAAGAGTAATAATAAATTTAAATACAATTTTTAATATGATTACTTGTTTATTTACTAGTGGTTTACTGTTTTAGTCTATCTCGTCAGTCATGTGTTACGCGTGTCTAATCACCGACTACCTGGACATTCAATGCTGGTTGAGATAGGAATAAGTCCAACGAGAAGTAGGAGTGGGCGAACTAAGACGTAGTAACAATCCATGAATTCATTGGCTGCTGAACTGAACTTTATGAGTACATCCAGACTATCCGGTTGAGGTCTGCACGATGTGGTTTCAGATATTACATGATGTGTATGAAAAGCGGTTACAGTAAGGAAGATGCATTTGTTCTTTCTCTGCCCTTAATTCTCGAGCTTCAATATTAGTCCGTATTTTTTATTCTTCGGATTTTCCCCTTTCTGAACTTGACGAGTTCTCGTTTGGCTGATGTTTCAATACTTCACGTCAGTACATTGATGGATTACAAGCAAAGCGAGAAACATAGGATGGGACTTATTGTCAACGACTGTTCGAATGTAAACGTGGAAAGCACATTTCGAAAGAGACCAATGTCATGGAATGGGGGAAAGTAGAAAATTATACCTAAGTCAGTTATGGAAACTAAATGCAACTGCGCCACTGACCAGTTCCGAGTCATATCGCAACGTTGGTGGTTATGATTGTGTAAAACATATTCTTATAACTTTGGTCGTTAAATGTTAATAGTCATCAGCAAAATTGCTCTTTCTACCGAGCAGCTTATTGTGGTATACTTCGGGATTACTCACTGATGGTCCAGATGTTAGAACAGTGCATCGAAGGTGCCTGTGATCAAATACTTACAGCTTGTGTCTTCTACTTTCATAGGTCATGTTTCATACCCATACAGTAAGACAGTGGTAGTTATTTGTCGTCTAAAGTATTATTCTTCTTCTTGATAACCATATCCCCTTAGTTGACTGTCTTCGTGTGCGTCGTTTACACCCAATGTGCAATCGTATCCAACACTACATTGGATTAGAAATGTTGTGGAGGCTGTTGAGCGATGTATTGCCGAACTATGAAGTCACTGACTTTCATATTAACTTGCGTCGGTGGGTGCAGACGTTCTGGTTGAGGTCCGCACAATAATCATACTCAAAGGGTAGTTACCTTAGGTAATGGCATGGCTGAAAACCTTGTTAAATTAGCCTTGATCAATCTTTAGTTTTAATGTTACTTCACTTTTTATGTTCGGTTGTCTACTAATGCTTTCATTTTGACTGATCACCTAGCTGATATCAGTTCGTGTTGCAAATCACTTTCGAACTATCCAACTATTTGTTACACATTATTTTATTTCCTGAACAATAGCATCGAGATTCTCAGTGATGTCATCAAACATTACTCAACAGCAACAACAATCACATCCAGCTTGTAAAGCATGCTCATCTATCTTGTTACGTGATGAACTAGGAATAATTAGCTATGATCATTCCGCCAATCTTTCATATATTTCTACGCAGTTTCCAAAAGACACGGATTTAAGTACACATGTTCGAAATGCATGCTTGCGAAGTCTTTCTAGTGAGGTATTCATTCTGTGATTATCTTAATATGATTCTTTTTATGATATTTTATTGTTAAATACTTATTTTTTGTATATTGGAACTGACACCACTTATTAGCTTTAATATTTAAACGATCTGTTCGTATGTTTCCATTATTTTCTTCTCTACGGTAAAAATGCACATGGAAATAAGTAGTCATATAAATTCCTGTATACTAGGTTATAGGTACACACATGTGATTGTGCATTATACTTCTCTCTATTTCAAAACTGATTTTTATAACCAATTTTTCAAATGATTAAATTACAACAATACAGTATTCACTAGCATAGAGCAACAAAATTTGTCATAATGTCTTTGGCCTATGTAGTTCATCAAACATTCCGAGTAACTGGATATCGGTTTAACCAATGAAATAAATATTAACACGGAAAATGAAACGGATCTAAAATAAAGGTGATAAGTATTAATCAAGATATGAGAATTAATTTTTCTTTCGTTGTCCTCTTAGATATAAGACATCCTTTAGTTTGCAGGGTTTTATCATTAAGGTTTCGTTGTCTGTTTAGACTGCATCTTCACTGCAAATGTCGAAACAGTGGTTTGTGAGAATTTCAAGTAAGAAAATTTGTATATTTCATTCTAGATCCTAAGGACACGCTTTTATGTATGGAAAAATTCATATAGCCTATCGTTTTTGCGGATTGTCCTAGTCATGTTGCTTACAAAGTTATTGAAAGGTTTATGATTAGACTACTCTTACGGGGCACTATGATGAGACGTCCACGTAATAAATAATTTAGGACTTTAACTGCCTAAACTATCAAGAACACACCATAAGCATCATCAAATATGTTTTACTCAATACCACAGACTTACAGGAAACGCAGAATGATTGTGACTCTAACAAAATGCAATTGCATTATAATACCTCTTACATACGTGGTAAGGATGTTAAGCATACAAATTAATGCAAATATAATCTGACCAATGAGAGTCTGTCTGAGCCGCCATTTATCACTAAAAATTTTCCACTTACTACAAGTCTACCAACACCAAAAATATTCATAAATATCGTCCAACTTTCCTTCGGACGTTTTTACTTGTGGAGTAGTAGATTAAGTCCTGTATAGATTCACAAGTAAACGCACATAAATTACAATTCATTTCTAGGTTATAGACACTCCTTAGTTAAGAGTATGCTGTGATTTCCCTGTCGCTTAGTTCGTAAACTGAATAACTTTTTTTGGGGGGGGGTAAATATTGATTGCCACTAAGATCCGAAGTATAGTTTTACAATTATTACCCGGCAACCAGTCTGACCTAAAAACGCTCAATAATAAGTAGTTGAAAAAGCGGTGAGGTTGTTTTTTTGATGGACTTTTGTCCTCGTAGCCAGATGGTTTGGCTGTGGAGCTTTCGTCGTTATTCTGAACGCCATCGTCCGCACAAACTTCAGATTGAAATGAAGTGTTCGAATTTCTCTACACATGGCTCACAACTTGTCCCGTAGACCTCGATGTTGATGAGTTCCTGTTAACTCTTAACCTATCATTGTCTACTTCATTTTGACTGTATCTTCTATTGATTTAATATTTGATCCTATATTTGTCCATACTTTATCAACCAATCAGAAAAAAATCATGGACAAATATAGGACCACAAATAAAATCAACGGGAGATACAGTCAAAATAAAGAAGTAAACAATGGTAGGTTAAAGGTTAACAATAACCAATCAACATCGGGGTCTACGGGACAAGTTGTGAACCATATGTGGAGAAATTCGAACACTTCACTCCAACCTGAAGTTTGTGATGATGATGTCATCCAGAATAACGATGGAAGCTCCACGACCGGATCACCTAGTCCATAGAAAAAACTCCACTAAACTCATCCACCTAAGCTTCTTTCCAAGCCATAAATTTTCGTATTGTAGGACACCCAAAAAGACAGTAGAGAAGAAGGTTGTCTAATCAATAAATACATAAACTAAGATGTATGTTGTAGGCCATAAATTAGTTAAGCACACAACCAAGATACTTATATGTAAAACACTATATAAAATTGCAATGAAGTCTCCTTTGTCTTAGGTTCCGAATCATCTGAAAACTCGAACTGTTAGGTTATATAATCTAAAAGACCCGAACAAAGCAGCCGTCATGGACTGGCAGATTCGTCTTTACATAGCTATCCTTCATCCCTCGATACTTTGTCATAATCCGACCACCTTTTTTCACACAGTTCCAGCTTTAGCAGATAATTTTCACCCTAGGAGCCATTGATAAAAATTGTAAAGTGTATTCAGGCTGCTAAAGCTGAGGTTTGAAGTTGGTGACACTAATTGAATGTGTTCACCATGGATTCCATCGATTAGCAAAAAGATCGTAAACAGGATAGTATGCAATTCTGCATTTAAAGTCATCTTACTGATCTCACTGGTCAATTGTATGGCACTTTCAAATGTGTTACAAAGAAGTTTTGTTGGGTTTATATTTAAAAACGCCACAATTTTTACGTTTTATCATTACCTACAGTCGAACATCGTAGTAAAATCTAAACTCCCATTGTTCCATAATCAATAAGTCTATCTGTTCAGTATTTGTTCTTAATAATTTTGGATATGTGAAACATTTTCGTCTTGAATTTATAGTACTATTAATATCACACTGTATAATAATGTAATTTTTTGTAGGTTTGCCCAGGTCAAGTCGGTGCATTTTACTTTGGTGATGAAATAAATGGTCATGTTTTAAGTTATAATTTCCCTTTGAATGATTCACGTGCGCGTGGTAATCAAAGTCGTTTCAGTATTTTGGTGTTATCATGGGATAAGATATACCTACTAAATATATGGTCATTTTTGGTAAGGCCGATAGTTATTTTGTTTCTCAATGAATTTCCTCTTTCTAATTATCAAATTGTAACATTTAATAAGGTTGGATAGTGACTAGGATTAGAATCGAGAACATGCGTTTCTCTCTATTTGCTACTCGTCATATGGATATACCTGAATCCCAATGTTATTCATAGTAAGACTTGAACTCAGTACATTTCGCCTCAAACGTCAATGCGTTTTCCACTGGGCTACTTACTAAGTCATTCATGTAACTATGATTGGCTAGTTAATTTGATTTTCTGACTTTTGATACTATCAAATATCTGAATTGATATTTTTCAGAGTCAAACTTAATAGTGCTGCATTTTGCTGGACAACTTATATTATCAATAGAAAAAGATTTAAATTATCATATGAGAAATTATATCAAGGCTATCTTCATAGGATGCAAATATGGCGATTACGACTGATAAAAATTAAACCGTTTATATCAATAACTGGATAGACTGTGAGGCGGCCAAACCAAAACATGGCACAAGTCCATGAAGTCACTGACAAGTGGACTGAGTCATGTTGGTAGGTATAGACTACCTGATTGGGGACCACGAGATGATAGCAACCGATGGTTACAGACTCTGAATGACATGGCTCAAAGTCGTATGCAATGGCGCAGGTGCATCCACTCTTTGTGTTCTCCCAAATTCTAATCTTCTGAATTCTTCATGTCCCTTTTTTCCTCTTTCCAAATTTATTTCACTGAATTATACTCGTTAAATAACATCTCCAAACCCTAATCTTCCCGATTACTGCTTATACTCTTGCTACCTCTACCACTACGGGATTTGAATCGACCACTGCATCTCTGTGCTAATGTGGTATGGCAACTCGAACTGATGTACGTACGTACGAAGTTCTACGTTGTTACTGACTAACTGACTGACTGGATAGACTGTATTCCACGTGTTTATCTTCCCTATACAATTGATGTGACTTCCCTACCTTAACTAACCATCCCGATAATTTCTTTCCCTAGTGTTGTAATGTGAGTTGTTGAAACTTGGTTTATGATGTACATTTGTTCCATGTTCTCACTGTCTACAACTAACCTACTAAGATTCACAGCTCTGTTGACTGACTTGCTTTTATTCCCTAAAGTTCTACTTATAATTTCAACGTATCCGGTCCTGTATCTCAATGATTATTATTGATTAGTACTTGTAATCCACCACCAGCAATCATGTCTCATAGATACAGTATTTTACTTACCATTCGAACACATATTTCCTTGTTAAGTAACTTATTCAACAAACAAATTATTTTTGAAGAGAGAAAAAAACGAAGATTGATGTAAAATAATGTGAATTTATTTTATTTCTCTCGGTTCTCATCATCTGCTCACAGCCTATAAAATTTTAAGATCAAAGTTATCACAGAAATTGGCATACAGATGAATGTGTATCATGATGTAACGAAGATTCCGATTGAGTCAATAAGATCTTAAAAATATTTTTGTTTCAGGGACAAAAGTGATTTTTGTTTTTTCTTTCTTTAAGATAATAGGCGCCCCCGAATGCCTTGGTACGGCCGAGAGCGGGGAGAATCAGCTCTCCCTCTCGAACTGCCTTCACATGACCACGTGCATACAACCACTGCCAGGGAAATCCTACTCACTGCCATTTCGCGACGCGAGTGTTACCTACGAGATTGAGAGGGCGAAAAGCGAATGTCTGTCGCCTTTACCGGGTTGGTGGACACAGAGTCCACTTAAGCGAGTTGAAAAACCCTGATTCCAAACCATTTCATATGGGCTCCATGATCCTGAGAGAAAAAAAATGCCGTATTAGTCATTGGCTACCATTGGACTGCATCTTCTTACGTCGCTCCATTGCCTTGTGGATCAGATCTTTAGGTCAAAGTCTTGGGTTGTGGCCTCCTAAGAAAACCACCTGTTTCAGTTTGGGCACACGGGCAGTATCCTAGCCCTCACACAAATCGAATTATTTATGTGGCGCATATATATCTGGTGCCTTCTTGTACTTATGTTAATGTGCTTAGATAAATAAAATAAGATAATAAACAGAACTGTTTAGGAAATAAATTTCTTTCTTGAGTTCATTTTCAACAATGTACAAGTGCATATATATATGATAAATTATGGGTAAATGAATACTTATACACATTGATCAAAAGGAATATACGAAAATCATTTAAAAGTCTCTTCTTCACAGTCATCTAACACTCAACTCCAGATCACTTTAACATCAGGCTCTAAACATCATAGGTACAATGCAATCATTTATGAATGAACTGAAACATTCCACGAAGATCTCATGCCCTTTTTTAGGTGTCTCTATCGATTTGCAAATGTATTTCAAAGAGTATATCCTTAATATGATTAAATCTAGGTCTCAAAATGATATGATTAAACTTAAATATATTCTACAATCAGCTATCATTCAGAGAAAATTTCCAGGTAAACCTTCAAAGTATATGTACAATCGTTCATCGCTACAACTCACACCCATATAAACTCAAACGCTGTTTTCAGGTTCAAAATATTCTAATTATTCTGACAAGCATAGTCAAATTTGGAAATCTTATCAATTAAACAGATGATCTTGTTCCAACTTCTTTGAAATCACAACATTTTAACTCAACAATACTTAACTGTCCCTATCAGTTCATGAAAGCATGACCAACAAATCAATGCTATTTAATTAAGTGACATATTCAATAGATAGGACTTAGTAAAGAGAACCGAGACATTTTATTAGTCCGGCCAGTTTGGGGAACTTGTATGGTTCTACTGCACAAATAAAATGGAAGATTTGTTATTTGATTCTAGTAAATTTTCGAAGCCAGGTAAAAAAAAGATAAAGCAGAAATGATCAAAAAGCATATTACAGCGAAGTAGCAGTGTTTGCTAATTGCTAATCATTTTTAAATACCTTCTTTAATTCCACATTGTCTCTGCTATCCATTAAATGTATAGTGATCGGAATTGTGAATACTTTATTCCTTTTTGATGGAACCTTCTCTGAACTGAATGGTTTGGTCATGGAGACTTCATCGTTATTCTGAACATCATCAGCACAAACAATTCACTCCTACCTGAATTTTGTGTTGATGATGTCGTCCAGAATAAAGACGAAAGCTCCGCGATCAAACCATCTAGCTCAGAGAACGAAACTCCATCAAAATCCTAAACTTTCTCGAGTAACTTTACTATCAAGTTTTTTTGTGTATTTTATTTTGATTGGTTGGATCACAGATATCGAATATATCACGTATGGTTTCTCGTCTACGTCTAGCAGCCAATCGTGTATACAGTGATGAGACTTCAGATAATACAACTGCTGCTGTTGTCAATACAATGACTCATTCAAACCTACAGAAGCCGTTGGCTCCATTGAGAAGATGTGCTACACCTCCAGCTTCGTTAGCTCCTAATCTTTACAAACAGGCTATTGCAGCAGGTAATGCTGTTACGGCAGGATACGGTTTATACAGTAATGCAACATTAGGAAGAGAAACAAAACAGAAAAGAGCTACCGACTCAGATATGCGTTCACTGGCTGATTTAACAAAAGATGATCAAGTATGTGTGTACATATATGTCATGTTTAAATTTTTTAAATGTCATGGTGGTTGCACAGCTTTATTAGTTACAAATAAAAAACGAAAAACAAATGGTCTTCATCATGAACTACCCAAAAATTGTTGGGTCCCTGTCTGAAAAAATAATATTTTAGAAGTTTTAGCGATTTCCATGGCAATAGATTGGAGATATCAGATGTTATTACCGAGAATCGGCCGTAAAGGCGCAGATGTATTCACTTCCTATCTGTACTTGAACCTTGAGCTTCAAAATGATCTTATACTTCTTATTTCGCGCATGCATTCATTCTTCTCAAATAATATTCCCCATGAGTAATGTTTTTTTAATTACCACTACCACTGATATTACTATTTATGCTAATTTATTATTCACGTTGATAATTTCTTGTCTGTGTTGATGTCGTATGATAACTCGATCTGATATACATATTTTTCAAGTTCTATGCTCCTTACTGTTGAGGAGATCCAGAACATTCCTCGAAAAAAGCTCAGAGGGGTCCTGAAAATGCTCGGAAACATTTCACCTTATCATTATTGAATAGAAGTTACTCAGAAACACCTAGAAAGTGAAGAGCCGCGTGTTACATTTCTGACCCTGCTACTACGTTTAGTAGAGTTCCAGCATCTTCCAGAAGCCGAATGCCGTCTGTTCATAAACTAACCTTCGAGTAAAGCGTCCTTTTCATATTTTGCGTCTTTTCTATCGTGTAGAATTAACCTGGTGTTGTTAGAAGAGCTTAGGAAAACGATTCAGGCGTTTAATCAGATTTGTCTTAATTACGCCTGTTACTCCTCGTGGAGGAGCATAGACCGCCCACCAGCACTCTCCATCCAACCCTGACAACTTAACCAACCGTATATTCCTGTATTGCTTATTATTATTTTCCAAAATTAAGATGAATCATACAAACAAAAGTTCCGTTGTCTATGTTAATAATAGTTCTGGCACACAAAATGATTAACTTTCAGGGTTGAGGTACATGAATCTGAAATCAGTTACTATTGTACTGATTAGTTACCTTCATTAATACTGAATGTGAAAATCTGAAGATTTTTCAAAATGTTGTAAAGTGCTACTTAATACAGTCTATTCTCAGAACAAAAAAACATGTATGTACATTTACGTATCTTCGTTTGTGTAACAACTAAATTTAATCAAATTCATTCGTAGATATTCTATCGTCTGCATGCTTGGTTCACATGGTTACTTCGTGCCGGTGGTCGTCGATGGAGTATAGTTCCTCCTGCTATTGCGCCTCCAGTTGATGAAGATTCAATTGTATCTCAGGAAGAATATGAAGCTTATATTTCAGCTGGTCTTGAATGTTTAACAACATCTAGTTCAAGAAATGCTGCTGCCGCTGCCAATGCTAACACTTTCAATTTGCCTGGTCATAAACTTGGTCATAGTATGAGTTGTATTAGTCAATCAAGTGGTTCTACAATATTATCAAAATCAATAAATCATTCAACAACCAATGGTACAAGAGATTCGATTGAAACAGATAATAACAAAAAATTATCGCTATATTTAAACAATATGTCAGTAGAAATGGCGAATTCCACGTGAGCATTCTCACTTTATTGATATTTGTAAAAACACGTACTCCAGTAACAGTTTGTACATATAGCGACGTTGAGCGAAAATTGCAGTTGTGTGGTTAAAGTAGAGAGAAAGAGATAGAGGGAGTGGGCTAGTGATGAATATACCACCAAGTAGTCATCGATTCTTTTACTTGCCTTCAAGCCACACTTTTTCATTATATTGGTATATTTGTTGCCCAAACCGAAATAGATGAAACAGGGCTTTATATTTAGAATTCGGTAGCTTTGTGATTAGAGTTGTAATTGCGTATATACAAATTTGTCAGTTTACGGTTCTGTTAACTGAGCAACAATTTATAAACTGATTATTAATATGGTGTTAGTTTTGTTGTGATCATAAATTGCTCACTTCTGAATTCGCTTTATTTTCCCGTTCAGATTTTGTTGCCCTAGTGTAGATCGATGAGAATAGCATGGCTGTCTATAGTAATTACATATTGATCGACTACCTTTGATTCGATTTTTTAACATCGTAGTTTATTATGCCCTCCTTTTTGAATAGCTTAGTAACAATTAACCAAGATAACGGTCGTTCTATATCTCGAATAGACTGAAGTACTAGATGTGAACTATTAAATTTGAACTCTGGGTAAAAAGTAATGTGCTTACTGTGAAACGTGTACTCGATATTTAACCCGTGTGTTGTGACTTTAAACCCACCTAATTATCACGTGATTTATTCGCCAATCGAAATACAACTTATACAATTTAAGCACTATGCCAAACCAATGACGTTCGACCGGTATGAACACCCTAGTGTCCTTATTGGTCCTTCTCGTCTAGCCATGCCTGTTGAGTCTAGAACACCAATAATAGCTTCTACTATACAAATCATTTATTTCAAATATACTCGGTTTATATACCAGCCAAAAGGACCATATCATACCATAAATAATATAATGACAATTGTACAAGATCAAGCCAAAAAGTGGCTGTGATTGTGAGAGACTTTAATTGATAACCTGGGTATAAATTAAGAATAGTAAATCGTATAACAGTAGTCGATAGGTCAAAATAAAGCTTATAACAAGAGAAATATGAATATACATATTCTAGTTACTCAATAGTTATACAATAAAAATAATATGTATAATATTAGTCCATAAATAGATTTTAGAGGTTATTATTAATTTATGTTTCGTCCGCATATAACGCTTTCGGGCTTTCATTTTTCCAGAACAACCCAATGTAATTCTCATCTAAACACATGTGCACATACTCACCCCAGTATCGGTTATTTGCAACTAATGTGTTAGCACAGTTTACTTCATTACACTGATTAGGTTGTAAGTCAGATTTTGAGTAACGAATATTAATAAAGCATTAGATAGTATAATTTCAATTAGTCAACATCAAATTTCCTTCATTATAAGTTCTCAAAAAGCATATGGGCCAAACTCAAGGATTTAAGTGAGTAAACTACGCGGATTAGTTCAATGTGAAGTGAGCTTTCATTAAGAATGAATATCAGTTAAGAAACCATTGAAAAAGACCGAGCATTAAACAACTATTTCATCCTGTTCCGGGCTCCTTAGTAGTGTCCACCTACAATCACGGTTATATCCTAGCGAAGATTAAATTATGCCAGTCAGTAACAACGTAGAACTTCGTATGTACGTACGTACATCAGTTCAAGTTGTCATACCACATTAGCACACAGATACAATTGTCGATTCAAATCCCATAGTAGTGGAGGTAGTAAAAGTATAAGAGTAATCGAAAAGATTAGGGTGAAATAAATTTGGAGAAAAAAAGGGATATGAAGTATTCGGAAGATTAGATTATGGGTAATTTATGAGGGCTATTAATAAACTAATATTATGTATATATTCATATTTCTCTTATTATAAGCTTTATTTTGACCTACTGACTATTGTTATACGATCTACTATTCTTAATTTATACCCAGGTTATCAATTAAAGTCTCTCACAATCACAGCCACTTTTTGGCTTGATCTTGTACAATTGTCATTATATTATTTATGGTATGATATGGTCCTTTTGGCTGGTATATAAACCGAGTATGTTTGAAATAAATGATTTGTATAGTAGAAGCTATTATTGGTGTTCTAGACTCAACAGGCATGGCTAGACGAGAAGGACCAATAAGGACACTAGGGTGTTCATACCGGTCGAACGTCATTGGTTTGGCATAGTGCTTAAATTGTATAAGGCGTGTTCTGATTGGCTATCTTACTACGTGATAGTTAATAGGCTACAATACACGTCCATTAGCCACGGGGATTTTGCGAAGAAAAGAAAGTCATAACAAATAGTATCCATCTGAACTGTAGATTTTACCCTTCATATTGACATCATTTAGTTGAAAAACGGGAACACTAAATATCCATCAACAAATATTTATTTATTCCAGTAGTTATGGCGTTGGATTATTCTTGATTTCGTAACCTGTCTAAAAGATATAGTATATTACGAAGAGTTGCATCCGTATTTGTGCACTTAAATATTGACTTCTATACTTACACATTTCTTTTTCTCGTTTTCGACACTAGGTCTTTCATGATCTTGTCCAGACTATTTACTGTACTTGGTGTCAACCCATTTAGTCGATTAGTTCAGCATATAGCTGTTGGAAATCAATTGGTTGTACAATCACTAACCGAAGATATACACTCTACACTGACATTGTCTGCATTAGCTAAACTATTACCTAAAGGATGTATTAGACAGGTTTGTCCTCTGTATAGTCTGTTTTTGTTTTGTATGCGTTTCTATTCAATTTCGCATAAGGATATAATGTAACTCACCTACCAACCAAGTATATGTTTATGTATGCGGAACCTTGAACCAAGGTTGTGTGTGTGTTGTTAACATGCATTACATTTGCCTAACCACGGCAAGGTTGAAACCTGAAACTCATTTTATAAAAAGTGTTTCAACCATTGTATTCACATTCTGATATTTATTAATAGGTTGGATGATTAGTTAAAGAATATCCATTAGTGGACCGAGAATTCAAAACAAAACTTCACATAACAATTGAAATAATTTCCCATTTTATCTCTGTAGTTTAATTATTAACTCAATATGTATGTTTATGTGAAGTGGAGTGAATGAGTCCAGCTTTGCATTATACAGTGAAGTTCAATCTTGAAAGCGAAATAAATCTTCTAAACCCTTAACTAACTAAACTTGATCGTATTCTGAGTACCAGACATCGGTTTAACAACTGTCAATAAAAATACAGCAAAACAGACAAAAGTCGTTTTTTACTATACTTGACAGCTGTACTATCTATTCTACTGCATATTTTAGTATCCAGTAGACATCAGTGTCTCTATAATAGTATTGATTACTATTTTCAATATACATGTTGCGTTCTATAGTTGAACATCGTCTATGAGATTGAGTCAATAAATCAAAGTTTGAATTATCAGTTCCTTACTAAGTATTCCGTTAAAATTCAAGATATTATCCATCTCATGTCTATGTTCAACTGACATTTTCAGTGTCCCCAAATGCCCTGGTCTAACCGATAGTGAAGAGAGTTAGCTCTCCCTTTCGAAATGCTCTCACATGGCCACGTGTATATAGCCATGGTCAGGAAGGTCTTACTCACTGCCTTCTAGCGGCATTACTGTTGTTTACGAAATTGAAAGGACAAAAAGAGAATATCCGGCGCTTTAACCGGGTTGGTAGACACGGAGAGTCCACCTTGGGGATTTGGAAAACCCTGATTCCAAACTAATGGTGCACATGGGCTCCAGTATTCTGAGGGAACAAATGGCGTAGGGACCCACTGTTGGTCACCGACTACCATGTTACTGCATCTCCTTGCGATGCTCCACTGCATTGTGGATCAGACCTTTAGGTCAAAGGCTCAGGTTGTGGCTCTTTAAGAAAACCATCTACTCCGGTCTGGGCACCCAGGCAGTATCGCATACAAATCAAGTAACTTGTGTGGCACATTTGTGTTCGATGCGCCTTTGTACCAATATTTATGTGCTTAAATAAATAAATAAAATTTCAGTATCTTTTCAACTGTCATTCGTATGTATTTATTTCTGGGAGTTTAAGATAAATAAGTGTATTTATTAGCTACGTGAGGATAACAGGTTATGTCACTTTTATTATCTGAAACTTTTACACTTGCTACGTCCACGTATGATGCATGAATGAAATGAACGGATTCTAAAACGAAAGTGATCACTGGATAAAATAGTAACCTGTTCACTTCTTTCAATCTTTATTCTTTTAGAAAAGAATATCAATGGTGGTTCAGGCGTCAATATAAAGTCACACGGACTAACTGAGCCGTTGTTTTATCCTTGTTTAAATCGTTATAGGAGCTTTGTACACGCAACTTTACCAGGGCTCTTACCTATGACTTTCAAGCCTCTTGATGATTTATAATGTTTTTAAACATTTCTGAATTATAACGGAATAATTCATACTTTCAATTACATTCTATTAATTGATGATTTATCACCACAATGATCTGATGCCATCGATGTTGTTATCCGTGTCATTCTAGATATGATAATGTGCTAATCGGGTACGGCAAATAGGATCAACTCACGTCTGTGCTAGTATCTCTATATTGACGTTTATCTTTCTCTCTGTCTGTTTGAACCTCTCTTCAGTCATAAAACAGCTAACCAGTGCTCCTTAGTTTTTAATTATTCTCCAGGTTTTTGCCAGTTTAGCGGTAATGTCTCACTTTAGAAAATTTAATAAAAGGTTGAAATTTTCATTTTCACTCGTCAATGATAATAATAGTAATGATTTTAATTGTAATAGTAATACTTCTCTTTTAAATGTTTTCTTTACTTTTCAAGGTAATAGCAAGTCATGAATATGTGGCACCATTTCGTTGTAATCTTTTAAGTTTAACAAGTAATTTATTAATGTTAGAAGAAGATGTAAATATGGCTAAAGATGTTCTTTATTTAGCTGTTTATCGTTGTGAATGTAAATCATCATCGTCATCATCATCTTCATTAAATGAAACAACAATAATCTCTAATGGAAGTAGTGAAGAATCTTTTCTACAATCATATGTCAATTCTGTAAGTATTCCTATCTTGAACATGCATGCTTGAAATTAACCAAATGTTAAAGCGTTTTTTTTTGTTACTCAACTTTTAGCCACACTCTTCATATGAAATGAAATATTTCTTCGCCTTACTTGCTTTTACATGCATCAAAGTGTGTATGTGCGTGTGTGTGTGAGAGAGAGAGAGTTAATAAGATAATTACCTAGCTACCTAAACAGTACCAGATAGAGTTGTATTCGAACTGACGACTACTTGTTGGTTAAAAACCGAGTAATTTAACCACTAAACCATTACTTATTAAGCGTAGGTATAAATAAAAAAACTTTTTTTCTATATTCGTATTAAACAGTCTAAACATAAATATGATATTCCCTTATTCATGACTAACCCATCGTGCTGCATTATATGTATGTATGTATGACAATCAGTCAGTCAGTCAGCTACAACGTAGGACTAGGCACATATGTGCATCGGTCCAGGTTGCCATACCTCATTAGCACAGCAAGATGAACAGCGGATTCATAGGAGTGGTTAGGTCAAAGGTGGTAATATATAGGAGAAAGATTGCAATAAGGATATAGTATAGGAAGAAAGAATTAGTACGTAGAAAGAAAGATATGAAGTGATTTTAATCTCTTAGTTTAAGGGAAGACAGGGAGTGTATACACCGACGCCATTGTGGTCGATTCTGAGCCATGTCACCAAGAGTCTCCAACCATTGGTTACGATTGTCACGCGGACCCCAACCAAGTAGTCTGCATCTACCAACATGGCTCAGACTAGAAGTTAGTGACTTCAGGTACTGATGCCACGTTTTGGTTTGGCCGCCCCTAACTTTCTTCCAACCATCCCGAATACCGGTTAGCATTGCACGTCGTGGTAATCGGTGTTCAGGCATACGTAATACGTGGCCCAACCATCTCAGTCGATGAAGATTCATAACCTCATCAACTGATTTACCATCATTCCCTAATACCCTGCGCGCAGTATACTCGTCCTTTTATTGATAGACGGATATCTCGCCTCCGCCAAAGGTGACGTAAGTTGGCAAAAGCCAAACAAGCTTTTCGAATCCGTGCTGAGATTTCGTCAGACACCAACCCATTAGGGCTGATCAGACTTCCAAGATAAGTGAAGTTGTCAACGCGTTCGACCACTTCACTTCCTATACTTAGTTCAGGTGTTGACGCAGACCAGTCCTGAAGCAACAACTTGCATTTAGAGGGAGAGAAGCGCATCTCAAACATTCTGGCATTGTTGCTTAGTGCTACCAAAAGACTGCATTTTGTCAGCGTCTTCACCAAACAGAACTATGTCATCTGCGTATTCTAAGTCGATAAGTGAACCTCCTGGTAGGGGATCAATACCTGAGAATTCAGTCGACGAGAATGTTATTTCCATCAGTAGGTCTATGATGAAGTTAAACAGAAATGGAGAAAGTGAACAGCCTTGACGGACACCACTTGAGGTTGCAAAAGTAGATGACAGTTCGCCATAAGCCCTGACTCGACTAGTAGTGTTCGAGTAAAGAGCCTTCACAAGGTTTATGTACTTCTGAGGTACGCCTTTCAATGACAGACATTGCCACAGAGTCTCGCGGTCTACAGAGTCAAATGCTGCTTTTAAGTCAAGAAAGACCGCCATCGTCGGACGCCGATAAGTATGCCTGTGTTCTAGAACCTGACGAATGGTGAATATGTGGTGGATGCAGCCACGACCAGGTCTGAAGCCAGCTTGGTTCTCTCGTGTTTGCAGTTCACGAGTCTTAGTTAGGCGTTTGATAACTATCGACCCTTTCTCATATATTGGGACGATAAGTGATTGCGACCAGTCAGATGGAATAACGTCTAATTCCCAGAACTTAGCTAAAATATTAGTCAACCTAATCGCTAAAATTGGACCACCATCCTTAAAGACCTCTGGAGCCAGTCCATCTGGACCAGCTGCCCTTCCTCGTTTCAGATTAACTATAGCCTTTTGAACTTCTGCTAGAGTTGGGGGACCTACTTCAATGTTCCATTCACACTGTCTGGGAATGGAGGGTAGTTGTAGAGTAGCTGAAGGCCAGTTGAACTGTTCTCTGAAATGTTCCGCCCATCGTTCTAAACGTCTGGACTGGGAGCAGATGAGAGTATCACCTTTTTCCGAAATAATCTCACTTACACTTGACTTATTAATTCTAGTTTCTTTTATAAGTCTGTAAAGCTGTCTTGTGTTCCCTATAGTCGCCGCCTTTTCCATCTCTTCTGCTTTCGTTGCCCACCACTGCTCACGGTCGTTTCTTAGACTTTTTCTTAACCTAGATCTGATTTGTTGTCGCTCTTCATCATGTTCGGAACCTGATGGGACGAGTTTGCGAGAATCCATCAGTGTGATAGACTTTGAAGAAATCCACTGGTTCTTTGTAACTCTGTGGTTTAAGTCACTAATAGATGTCACTTCTGTTTCCACAGCTGATTGTATGCCCTTCCAAGCAACATCTGGGTCAGCCTCGTCTTCACATCTACCTAAGTGTGACCTCAGTTGTTCCTGGAACCTACTTTTGGTTTTCTCGTTACTCAACTCAGTTCTAACGGGTCTTTTTAATGTGGTTTTTTTGCGTCCAGTGAGGCGCAAGCAGATGCGTGCCCATATTAGGGCATGGTCGGAGTCCAAGCAGGTACTCCAGAATGAGCGACAATCTTCTACCGACCTTCTCCAACGATGACTGATGGCAATATAGTTTATTTGAGTCCATCGTTGGTTTGGTGTAGGGGGTCGCCATGTTAGACGATGTCTCTCCTTATGCTTAAAATTTGTATTTGCTAAAAATAAACGATTGTCTGAGCATAGCTGCAGCAGACGATCACCATTATCTGTTCGCTGTGTCGGAATACTAAAATATCCACCTAAATGTCTTTCTGTTTCGTTTAAACTGCCTATCTGAGCATTAAAATCACCTGCTACGAGTACTATGTCTGAACGTTTAGCTTTCTGAAGAAGTTCAGATAGCTTTCTGTAAAATTCATCTTTCACTTCATCTGAGCTGCAGTCAGTGGGAGCGTAGGCAGAAACGACAAAAAGGCAACGACGTGTGTCTCTATCCTTCCGAGTTCTTAGGGAGCCGTTCAGCCGAACAGCACATAGACGACTGTTGACGGGGATCCACTCTAACAGTGCTTGTTCGGCCCTCATGCTTAATGCTATGCTTACACCTGCCAGTCCACGAGAACTTGCCATCGGGTCACCAGATACACGAAGGGTGTATCTCGTTGGCTCTCCGTTTTGCCGAGGTGAGGTCAAGTGAATGACCACACTGGAATCCTGTATGCGTGTTTCGGAGACACAGCACACGTCAATGGTAAGAGACTCTAGGGTTTTAACCAAGGAAGCCTGCTGACCGATTTGACATAGGGTTCGTATGTTGAAGGCTCCAATGTGTAGTTTGGAGCGGGGTTTCAGTATACCTGGGACAGTGTTTTGCGCACAAGAATCGTTGGCTATGGTGACACTTGAGGTGGAAGCCGAGAGAGGAAATTTAAAGTTGAAAGTCGATGTAGGAGGAATAATAGGAATTGAAGAGGGAGGTTGATTATGAATACAGTGGTCTTGAGTGCTGTTAGAGATATGAGGGCGGTTATCACTTCCCGGTTGCCCACACCGTGTAAGGGTTCTTCTGGAGGTACCTGAAAAGGGAATTGGATTAAAGGTGGTCTTAGTGACCTGAGAGCGTGACCACAGTGCCCAAGGGACAACTGCTTGAGGTCGGTCACACACGATCTTGTTATGGGTAATTTTTGTGTTAGCTCCGTACTTGTTGAGACCTTACCGCCGGAGACGGATACCCGTGGGATAAGGCGAGGTGTGCATTTTTAGGGTCGACCTGTTCTAACCCCACCCCTCCTTGTGGGAAGGCAGCATCGCTGTCATGCTGGCTGTCTGAAGGAAACACCTTACTGCTGTCACACCTCTGTACAGTCAGCAGTACGACTTCGCCTTCGGACCTTGGGTTCGTTGCTTTTAGTTTTACCGCTCTTCCACCGACCTTTCTGACATGGTAGGACCTTGAGGAACGGTTGTTCTAGCCAGTATAGCTCGGTTGCTTCATCACGATAGGCAAGCCCGACCACCACGTCAAGGTAGCAACAACGGTCGGGATGTATGACACTAAGCTTAATTGTAGTTGAGTTGGTAAGCTTTCCTCAATATTTAAGACTACAATGTGTCAATGAATATTAAAACTGTTTTTTATTGACTTCTACCATAATGTGGAACTTCAATGAAAGTTAATATATAACTCAATAACTATGTACAGTTTCATTTAATTAATTTCAATATGTTTTCAATATACTGACGTTGATGTTATGAACGCCTAGCTGAACAATCTACAAGAAGTTAAATGAATGATATTGAGATGATTGAGAAGATTTATAGCTCCGATGAATGATTTTGATGGAGTTTTGTTCTCTGAGCTAGATGGTTTGGTCGTAGAGCTTTCATCGTTATTGCGAACGACATTATTAACACAAACTTCATGTTGAAGTGAAGAGTTCGGATTTCTCCAATATATGACTCACATCTTATCCTGTAGACCTAGATGTTAATTGGTTCTTGTTAACTCAACCTATCTTTTTTTACTTCTTTATTTTTGATCCTATATTTGTCCATAATTTTTCTGATTGGCTTTTAAATGGAATCGATTTTAAATGTACTTGTTAATTGCTGATTGACCTTAGGATCAATCTTCTAAAAATTCATAGAATTCCCTATATCCAAGATTTCAACATTTTTCCAGTTGAATATGTGTCCACAGTGGATGGTATTTAAAAATTACCATATTTAACTTGGTTACATTGAGCCTAGTTACGGCCGTTACTTCCAATGGAGCATAGGCTGCCGAACAACATTCTCCAACCCACTCTGTCCTGAACCTTCCTATCTACTTCTATCCAATTGCTGTTCATTCCTCTCATGTCCGTCTCCATTTCTTGGCGTAATGTGCTCTTTGGTCTCCCTCTCCTCCTTTGGCCCTGAGGATTCCAAATAAGGGCTTTCCTCAATGTGTGTCCTATCCACTACTAGCGCTTTCTCCAGATTTCTACTTCCGCTGGGATTTGGTTTGTTCTCCTCTACAGTAGGTTGTTTCTGATATTGTCTGGCCAACCGATTTTGCGTAGACAACTGTTAATAAACACTTGTATCTTTTTGATGATGGCTTTCGTAGTTCTCCAGGTTTCCGCCCCATACAGTAGAATTGTCTTGACATTTGTATTGAAAATTCTGACTTTGGTGTTGGTTGACATTTGTTTTGAGTTCCAGATGTTCTTTAATTTTTAGATATATTGCTCTTACTTTACCGATCCGCTCCTTCACATCCTCTGCCAAGATCCCCTCTGGGCTACTGCCAATCCCAAGCTTAGATAAAGGAGTAGGGTTGGGCATGGGGTTAGTGATCCCATCCCGTAGAAAACTAACTCTCTAAAAAAACGCTAACGGTTACACTGAAACGATGCCTTAATTCTTTTTTATAAGATAATTGAATGTGAGAAAATGACTATTATTAATATTATTATTATTATTATTATTATTATTATTATTATTATTATTATTATTATTATTATTATTGGAAACTATTATTTTACTTACCTAATTAGTAATTCCATAAATATTTAGGTAAATAAACGGTTTTTCTAACGTTTAATAGATATGAATATATCATGTAGTAAATATTTGATAAATCTTGCGGATTGAACGCTGTATTCGTTTCCTAAGTTATTCTGTAATCCCCAAGCTAGATCGATGCAGCGACCTGAACACGAGAGAGAAAACGCAAAGTATGCGAGAAGTACTTTACTCCAAGTTTCATTTTTGTACAGAAAATCACGGGTATTTATAGATGTTAACATTTGTTAAATCAGCATCATATTTTGGCCAATCCGCTAAAAAATATTATGCTACTGACCAATAGTAGCACGCCACGTTGATATTCCAGAAAGCTCCATTATGCTCTGACTGGCTAGGACTCTTCAGCTCCTTTAAGGCCTCTGGAGGATCCGTTGCAGTTCTCGGAAAGCCGACTCAACAATATTGATCTCTTATTTAAAGGAAAGTGTTATCTAGTAACCAATTATAAGTTTATTTTATAAGTTGATAAGCTTTAAGTTGATATATTCTGTATAAAGCGTTATTATTATTATTATTATGTAACTATTTACATCGATTTAAGTAAATTAGTGCAATTTAAACCTTGTCCATTGTTTGAATTATTATATAACTTTTGATGTTCACAACAAGTGTAATATATGTACAACTTTAATTTTTTAATTATATTTAACCTCCCCTTCACACTTATTTTCGTCACAGAACAACATATTAATTAGAAAGTTTCAATTAAGACTAGGTAATAATAGTATCATTCTGGATAATTGTTCCGTAGTAGATTTGTGGACTGGTCAACAATGAACACCAACTACTGATATCTCAATATTGAATGAGTCAGAAAATCAATCAACATACTAGAATTCAGAATTCATGAAATAATCTTAGTTAGACGACTTGGAAAAACTGGGAAACATTGTATAGTTGTGTTATAAATGCTCTCGTACGGTTAAGGGTAAGGAGACCTATCCCCCACGTAGAAACTAATATGGCTGCTGCCAGGAGTACTGTTGGTGAGAGTAAGAGGACGGAAGGTGGATTTCTGGTGCCTAAACCGGGTCGTAGTTTGCGAAGGATCTACCCAGGGGAGTTGGAAAGCCCTGACATCAAACTAATGGTGGGCGTCTTCCTAAGTCCTAAAGGTTACCTGTTACCAAGGGATTATATTTCCTGACTCTGCTCTAACGCCTTATGGATTAGACCCTTTGGTGAAAGGTTCGTGGAATGGCTCTTTAAAATAATCACTTACTTCATGGAAGTAAACGTTCCTGCTACTCCTTTCTATTGATGAAAACAATATTCACAATTATTTTATCACAGCCACCTATTATACATTGTGTCACTTATCTGTTCGTTCTAGTATAGACTCCTTTTTTGTAGTGCACGTCTACGACTCTACAACTATGAATAAAGCTCAAAACAATAAAATCTTCAATTGAAATGATTCATAATAATCAATCAATTCATTCATTAATTATCGTCACAGAATGGTACTGTATCTGTGTTAGTTTTTTAATTTTAATTCTATATTCTTTTTTTTTAAAAAATTCATTTAATTTATTATTATTTGTTTTATTGTTTTACTGTGTTTTACTGTTTTGTTTTTATTTTCATTTGAATTAAAGTTAAATTTTAAATTCTGTTCAACAATTCCATCATTTGATTCAGAATTAATTTTATATAAAAAATCATTACCTTGTCGTTATTTGTCTACTGCTACTACTACTACTACTACTACTATTACTAATAATAATAATCATCATCCATCCATTACTACAATTCCTCGTCAATTTTTAACTAATAATAATGGACGTATTACAATATCAAATTATGTACAACAAATTATTAAATTATTTCATATGAATCCACCATTATCAATGGATGTTTATACAATTGCTTTATCTACAATACAACATGAATGGATACATCGTGCACGTTTATTATATTCATTTAAACGTTGTCAAGTAAGTTGATTCCGTTTTGATGATCAATAAAATCTAGGTTTTACCCTAATTGATTAAATTTGTTCAAGTAAAATACATGTACTAAGATTATTGAAACTCTATGTTATCATGTTTATTGGTGGTGGTGGTGGTTGTGGTTGTGGGGCGGACTTACTTACTTACGCCTGTTGCTTCTCGGAAAAGAGCATAGGCCGCTCACTACTAACATTCTCCATCCAACCCTATCCTGAGCAATCCTTCTCAGTTATTTCCAGTTGTTATTCATCCTCTTCATATCTGATTCTATCTTCCACTTCCCTTCAGGATTCCAAGTTAGGACTTGCCTCGTGATGTAGTTTGACGATTTGCGTAATGTATGTCCTATCAATTTCCATCGTCTTTTCCTAATTTCCTCTTCAGCTGGAAGCTCGTTTGTTGTCCCACAGAAGGCTGTTGCTGATGATATCCGGCGGAAGGTTTCCATTTTTCTTCCGTTTAAAGTGAATCCTCTTTATTTATACGAATGCATTTGATTTTTTCCTTATTATTCAAAATCGCCTTAATGATTGTTAGTGGTTAGTGTTGATAGTCGCATCATCGTTTTACTTTTTTCTCTGTTGCTAGAATCAAATACACAGACAATTTTCTTAAATCTACCTTAACAGTAGTCATTCCGATAATGAATCGATGATTCCTGAGTAAAGAAAACACTGGACATATATACGATAATATCCGCAGTAAATTAACATATTCATTATCATGAATATCCTGTTATAGGATGTTCAATGATAATAATTCTGTGTTTATATCACATCTAGGCTTGTTACTTGATGTTTTAATGTGCTTGTTCATTGCTAGATTCATGTTTATGTATAATCAATTAACTATGTAAAGTCCTTAATCATTTAACTGTTTAACTATTTAATTCATGAATATATAACCAAACATTTTTGTGTAGGTTTTGTTGTCGTTTCTAAAACTGTTATTATCTCAAATTATTTACTGGTCTACACTTGCCATCGCTTCTTGGCCCCCAAATGCTCTGGTACGGCCGAGAATCGAGAGAGTCCGCCCACCCTATCGGAGTGTTTTCATATGGCCGCGCGTATATAGCCTCTGACAGGGAAGTCCTCACTGCCTTCTCGTGGCATTACTGTTGTTTACGAAGTTGAGAGGACGGAAAGCGAATGTCCGGCGCTTTAATCGGTTTGGTAGACATGGAGAGTCCACCTTGGGGAGTTGGAAAACCCTGATTCCAAACCAATGGTACACATGGGCTTCAGTATCCTGAGGGAACAAATGGCGTATGAACCAATTGTTGATGACCGGCTGCCATGTTACTGCATCTTCTTACGATGCTCCACTGCATTGTGGATCAGACCTTTATGTCGAAGGCTCCGGGTGTGGCCTAAGTAAACCACCTATTTCGGTTTGCGCACCCGGACAGTTTCACAGCTCGCAGAAATCAAATAAGATTTGTATTGCACATATGTATTTGTTGTCTTCTTATACCAATATCTATGTGTTCAAATAATAATGGTGCCTCCCCTCGCTATCAGTAAAGTGAATCCCATTGTTCAAGTTCGTCTTTTCAAATTAAAAAAATATTGTATTGTTTGAATGAATAATGAATACAGAACCATATTGTAGGTACCTATTCAATCATGGTATTGTAACCAGCATGTTAATAGTTTAAGGTTTTTATGGAGCTTGTCAAATTTCATAAATCACATCAATAATTTCCACGAGTTGTTTTATATTAACAAGTCATGCACTCACTAGTGGCTAATTCCGAGAAGTAATTCCCGGGGTTCTTATGAGAAACTTGAACCGGTGAATTTCAACTATATCGAGTGTGAGTAAGATGGTTGCATAGTATAGCGAATCGAATAAATTTGAAAATGTGATTCACTGGATGTAGACTCAATAATTCAAATGTTAAATGCTTACTGTAAAACCCAAAAGTCCTAGGTTAGATCTTCGGTGAATTTGCGAATGTACATTTCTGAGGAGTTCTATAGTGGGAAAAGACATTTGTCTTTAGTTTACTGGTTTTCCCTGATTCTCTAATTCAGGTCAGTTCGTGGTTTAATATATTAACGTTTTGGTCCTCATGTTGTTGTTATCTTACTTTTCCATTCAACAACCATCTCTTCCTCTTTTCAATCTTAACTACAGGGATCATCTTTGAGCGGTGAGGAAGCAACTCGTCGTTGGACTAATGTACTCGCTTCAATCAATTGTCAATCAGCGGAAAATGCAGCTGTGGCAAGATTTTGGCAAGGTGCTTTAAGTCAATACTCTCGTAATAATATATGTCACTTACGTAAATGTCCAACCGCTACCAATTCAACGAATACATCAAGACGTGGTTCATTTAGCTCGAGTAATGCCGATTTAAATGCTGCTGTTTTAGCAGCTGCGACAAATTATCAATCGGTTCCATTAAATGATTAATTATCTGTATTGCTTTCATTTTTCTTTCATTTTTTTCTTATCTTTGTTCTTTTATATTTTGTAAATTTTTGTTTACTTGTGTTTTTGTTTCTTTTGTTGTGATTGTTAATTCGTTTTAATTTCTCTTCAATATCATCATAGTTCAAACGTGAAATTGTAGGTGAGATTCTCTTGTTCCTTTACATCATCATCATCATCACAATTATTACGCTGTAAATAAGTTATCTATTTAGTTTTCTTACTCCGGTATAATCCATAATAATAATAATAATCATGATGATGATGATGGTGCTGTTGCTTATTCGCTGAATGAGATAAAATGTTTATTTATTGTTGCTTCACTAAACCAACTAATTCTACCGGTGTATATATATCTTTATATATCACGCTTTAAGAAGTGAAAATATCAATCTGTCATTGTACTAAAAATATTCCCCATATAACTTACATATGATCAATCTGACTAATAGTGATCGCTTATATTTGTATTATCAATATTACTGTATATAATTCACTATGTTATTGATTGATCAGTTGTGATCATCATTTTGATGATCATTATAAAAGCAAATGTTATTATTGATTCATGTATTTTTATCTGGTATCAACAACTTTACCAGTGTATATTTCATTCTTCTATAGGTACCATGATGGGATAGATGTGTGATTTACTATTTCAATATATAAAACATCATCATTTTTATCTTATTTTAGAAGCCTTCAAATATAATTTCAAGATTATGCGGTTTTGATTGTCTGTCAGATTTTAATCATTATTACTATATGTACCTTATTTTTCTATTGATAAACTTGGAACGTTTTATTAAATTGAATGTTTGCCATATTTATCACACTTACACCTAGATATTTGCTACTCTAGTCTAGATATTATGTTGTATAACAACAGTAGATTGAAAAAAGTATGCAGTCGACAAGACTAGAAAAATTCATAATCTCATTTTGGGCCAGGTGGTTTAGAGGACCTAATTTAATTTGCGAGATCATGCTATTAGAGGTATGAGGGGGGTTGATCACATCGTGGAAGGGTTCTTCTAGAGGTACCTGAAAAAGAAATTGGGTTAGAGGTGGTCTTAGTGACCTGAAAGTGTGACTGCAGTGCTCAAGAAACAGCTGCTTGAGGTCGGTCACATACGACCTTTTTATGAGTAATTTTTGTGTTAGCTTGTTGAGACCTTACCGCCATTGGCGGATGTCTGTGGGATAAGGTGATGTGTGTATTTTTAGGGCCGACTTTTTCTAACCCCACTTTTCTTTTATGGGGAGGCAGCATCGCTGTTATGCTAGTTGTCTGAAGGAAACACCTTTTTTTCTGTCACACCTCTGTACAGTCAGCAGTACCACTTCGCCCTCGAACCTTGAGTTTGCTACTTCTAGCCTTACCGCTCTTCAATCGACCTGTATGTCATGGTAGTACCATGAGCAACGATTGTTCCAGCCAGTATAGCTCGATTGGTTTTTAAGCTACTCTCGTAACCCCCAAGCTAGAACTACACAGCGACCTGAACACGAGAGAAAAGGCGCAAAATATGCGAGAAGCACTTTACTCCAAAGGTTCGTTTTAGCACAGAAAATATAGGGTTTTTATAATGTTTTAGATGTCCTTGGGTTTGCCGAAAATTCTGGAACTGCTACTAAACATAGTAGCAGTATAGTAACCAGCCAATCAGAAACTGTACATGTGAATTTTTACTTTCCTAACGTTTCTGGCTAAACTTCAAGTGGAGGCTGATTAGATAAAATGCTTCTTAGTTTCTTGAACCTTTCTTGTCTTTTGTGAGAATTTTTCTGGATTACCCCAACAGCAAGCTCGACCACTGCATCAAGGTAGCAGCAACGATCAGGCGTTTGCGTGATAGTTGTATTGATGATTAGCTCAGGATACAATAAAAGTAATGTTCAAGGTCAAGTTTAATTGAGAGGCGATATTTTTCCCTCCACGTAAGCTGTAACATACAACAAACTAGAATTTGATTGATTTACTTGCTCTAGTTGACCAATTTCAACTTGTTAACACTACTAGGAACTGGTTTAAACGTAGCTAACGTGACATCATTAGCAGGTCTAAGAATTTGTTTAGTCATCAATGTAAGTGATTAGTTATATAAATAAGTTGGAGTCACGGTATTTATTAAATAACTTTATTTTCCGGATAAACATACAGAATCGTATTATATAACATGATCATAATCAAGGTCGAGAGAATATCATGTGATTAGTCTATTGATAAAGCTGTAAATCCATGTGATTAATTTTCGAAAGGGATATTTTTTAGATTAGTGTTAGGGAAGATGCTAATGAGTTCAAGTTCGTAAAATTTGATTCAAACGTAAAAGTTGGATTGACTCCGATCATTTTCTCAAATCTACGACAAATAACGAACTTATTTTGAATTCTCGTGGTTTAATATGTTGATCTTGTAATTGTCCATTCCACTTCTACAGTGGTAGCTTAATACATCCAGTTTTCTATCAATAGATCACTGTTTCCAAACTTAGTTCACCAATTCGAGCATGTGTTGCGAGGTAGTAACACTAATCTTCACATATACAGTGCCTCATACCTCAGTATATAAATTCCTGGTTTGGTGAGTAATGGTTCTTCTTTTACATAGCCGACTTGCTCTTGTCACACCATGTGAGACAAGGTCTCTAACACACTCAGTCCTGGGCCCTCCTCTTCAGTTGTTCCTAAGCGCTTTTCATTCTTTTGATATCAACTTCGAATTACTGACGCAATGTGTTCTTCGGTCTTTCTCTCTTCTTTTCACCATTACGGAATTAGTCATATCCGAACACCTCGATTCCATTATCACTGGCCAAGTAGAACGCTACAGCAAATTTTGCAATCATTTTTCACTTCTAACCAAATTCATCGTTGTTGAATTGTATCCAATTAGTATCGTTGGTCCATATTATTAAGGTCTCAAATTACTGTGAATATATTTCCACTTCTTCATGTAGTTTTATGGTTCCCTGATTGGCGTCAGTTTCTAAGGAAATCCTCTCAATCTATCCACGTAACTGCAAAAATTCCTCACTAGTAACCATCCTTATGTTGATTATCTCAAAGCTTCAGTAGAAATACCAGATCTGTCGTGTAAACCAAATAGGTATCAAAACATTTGGTGAGAGTCACGCTATACCATGAAGTTATTGCTAATGAAATGAGTAATACAGTCTTCTTACTCAATGATTTGAAGACTTTTGTTTGATATGAGATTTAAAGATCGTTAGCTATATACTGTATAAAGTTGTAAGTGTACACCACTGCTAAAACAAACTAGGACAGGATGACTCCCCAATACCCTATGATAGGTATCAAGGAAACTATCACCATGCAAACTATTTATTTACATTCACCGCATATTGTAATTGGTCTTTTTTTAGGAGTTAGTATTAAAAGAGTGTTTGAGGAAATCAAAATCTCGACAGTTTATTTTTTGATGAGTTCGAGTAGTTCCGAGTCCGAATCATGATCGAATTGGAGGCTTCGCTGAATTTCTTCCGATGACACATTACATTCCCTTAGATACTTTGATTTATTTTATATAGCTTATTATTTCCTTGCATTTTGTGTTTTTGTAATTACCCTAGTTTTTTTATAATTTTAACTTATACAAGTGATTCAAAGTATCTGGATATTCTTTCCGGTGCTCTGATTGCTAGTTTGATGTATGAATTGTACATTTATAATCAATTATTGCTGCAAACATTAATTACGTCAGTAAATTCATCATTATTCGCGTAGGCAGTTTCACAATAGACAAACAAACAAAAAATATATTCTTTAAAAGTTGTATGTCTATTAACTAGGATTAATGAGACTGAGCCAAGTAAGTAGTTCTTTACAAAATTCAGTTGACTAATTCATTATCATACTGTATAGTACATAATTTCATTCATTCATCATTTACATAGACAATATATATATAAATCATATTTCGATTACTATCGTCGCGGATGCCAATTCATAAATGAATCAAGTCATTATAATCTTCTCAACCAATCAGATTTCAAGAAATTTTTTACTGATTTATGATTGGTTAAATTTTTTGTGATTTGATTGGTTGATATAATAATATATTAAGAATAAATTTGAATGAAATTCAAACTTTAAAAAGTAAAATGACTTATTCATCATATCAAATATGTTTATGCTCATTTCATATAATAAATATTTTAATGGAATATTTTATAAAATATAAATTTAAAATTGAGTGTATCATTCATGATATTACTGATTATAAACAACATATTTATTCTATTGATAGTGAATTACATGAAAGGTAAATGAAATATCGATTTTGTATTGATTTAATGATTATTGATAAGAGCAATCAAATTTCAGAAGAGGCTTTTTTGTGTAGATATTATAGCCGTTTCAATAGTTGAAGTCATGAGTCGAATGAAGCTAGACCACCATGGAAAATCTGGAACAACTGGATGGCCGTTTCGTCCTAGTATGCGACTATTCAGCAGTGTACATCCATGATCCCGCGCTCGCAAGATCTGAACCCAGGACCTATCGGTCTCACACGCAGATACTTAACCTCTAGACCACTGAGGTATGCAACGGTGTTAATGTATAACTTCAATCAATCCACAAAATTGAGCGACACATCCAACATTGTCATCAGTGAGTTACTATCTCACAACAGACCTGGTTGAACTTCACTGATCATTGCTTCTCACTAGAACTCCAGGAAACAACTATTGAAGTCATTCACTAGTGAGCACATGATCATTATTATCAGAAGGGGGGGGTTTGTGGAGATCTTAGTAATTTTGTAGTGGAATTCATGAGTCAATTGATTTTAGATCACCATGGAAAACCTGGAAGCACTGGACTGCCGATTCGTCCTAGTATGGCACTATTCAGCAGTGCATATCCACGACCCCTCACACGGAACTTGAATCTAGGATCTACCGGTCAGTAGTGCAGTTTCGTGGATTGTTTGAAGCTAGATATTAACACCGTTGGATGCCGAATTACTGGTCTAGATATTTAGCGCGAGCCTGATATGTCCTGGGAGTGGTAATGGGTGAGTGCTGCTGTGGAGTCCCGTACTAGGACGAAAGGGCCGTCCAGTGCTTCCAGGTTTTCCATGGTGGTTTGGCTTCAATTGACTCATGAATTCGACTATAAAATTACAAACAAGTCAATTCAGGCTTTCAACTAGTAAACAGCGCTTTGTAGTCTCGAAACCAGTTCATCATGGATAATAATGTTTCTCTTACAGTATGTTCTTCAGTGCTTAGGCTATGCTGTGAAATAAAAATTAAAAAAGGAGTTTCTGCGACATGTTTTTCTTTACGATTTTGTTTCCGTTGGTTTTAAGGAAAGTTTTCTGATGAACACTTTAATTTGTTTATTCGGCTGTTGATTAAATCTGTTGAGATTCTGTTTATTTCGTCAGATCAACTCTATGAATATCTACTAGGTGAATTCTATTCTGTTGTAGGCTTATGATACTTGAAATGAATGGGTAATCATCGTGGTTTTTATTTGATCCCCTCCTTTGAGTAGCCAGGTTTTCAAGAAATTTTTAATAAGCATTGGATTCCAAACGGATTTACTTGTTAAGCAATCACTTTTATATGCATGTACGAAATTATTAAACCAATGAAGACAGTTCATGAATAATGTGATGACAGGTGTACTAGTTGTGATAAAGAAAACTAATAGGAATACGTCAAATAACATTAAGTGGCTTATTTCTGTTTGCTACATGACCGCTGCCGATCAGTGTGAAAGACCTGAGCTTCATATTGTCTTGACAGTACCTTTTCCTAACCACGAAGGGAGGTGTTCACTAACTTTTTGGACCACTTGTCTGGTAGTGCGCCCAATATAGCTTTCTCCACAGGACCAGTTGAATTCGTAAACAAACAGAGAAGTGGCATAACCAGGTAACTTATCCTTTAGTTAGGAAATCACCATAGATCGTGTCCAGTACGATAAACCGAGGTTTGCTGCATTAAACGTTCTCTTCACTGCTCTAGCCAATCTTTCACGTAGTACATCACCAGCTATATCTCCATTGAATTATAGCTTCATGAAGAGAGGTTTCTTATTAGCCGTTAGTGTCACTATTTTCTCGTTTGTTACACGCAACTGTTTCTTGAATAAACCATGTGGATAACCAAATTCAATCAACATATTGTGTATGAACTCTAATTCCTCATCAATTGTATCGATTAAACATATTTTAATAGCTCTATTTACCAGACATTTGACTAAATTTCTCTTATAATGAAGAGATACAAAGCTTAAGAAATGTGTATATTGGCTTGATGAACAACGTTTTCTATATTACTGTATATTAGAGTAAAGCTTGATGGGGACCTAATCGAAAACAATATTGTTCGCTTATATCTATGTTGTTCTATATTCATTCAAATCAATGAATAATGTAATTCATGTATTACATTGATTTCCTCTTTGATAAATATAAATAGAGACAGATGAATAAATGTATGATCTGTTTATTCTTCTAGCCTTTTTTCTGAATGATTTGATTACAGACATCAACAGATCAAGTAACCAGGTAATACGAATGAACGTCAATGGAAAGTTCATAGACAATTGACATGATATTTTTAAACAAAGATGGATAATGGCTAGCAGTGGAATCCAGGATGTGCTTATTTGCGACTCGTCAGCTGGATGTACCTGCATCACAGAGTTGATGTTCACTCTGGGACTCGAACCGAGCACTGTTCGCTTCAAACGCCATAGCGTTATTCATTTAGCTACTGAGTCCTGATAGCCACCTGCTTGTGGGAAGATACAAGTAAAATAACATCAAGTGAATTTGTTATGATATTTGTTGTAGAGTGGGAATTTTTTTATTTGAAGTGGTTATGTGTGTGTGTGGTGGGGTGACTATTAAGTAGGTTATATTTAGGGTACCATTAAAAACTATGATACTCTAAACTATTGTTTCATGATGTAACCCATGATGTTCTGAAATTTCAACTGAAAAGTCTTAAACGACAAAGGTACCGGGATTAAAATATCTGTTAATGTTAGTTTTGATCATTCCGTTTGTCGAATTCATCCAAGTTGAAGTTGTATCATTAGATAGATGCTCAATATTATTAAGGGTTAAACATTTTTTACGAAAATTGTTGACGCTGAGTTCGATTCCCGATTATGTTGAAGATGAACACTGCCGAGGGACCCAATGTCAGGATGAAAAACCTGTGACCTGGTTACCCGTCTAACTAAATATCCCCTGATCACTTTCATGTAGGTACAAAACTACAATGAAGTAACTGTACAACACTTATCTCTGTTTCTGTCTTTCTTGTAATGATTTATCAGATAAAATTGCTTAGCCATATTGTAAAATACCTTAGCTAACTAATCCTTTATTATTGTTATTATTTATGTTAGACTTCATATAGTATGGTTGGGATATTTTTATGAATTATATGTACAACCAGATTCTTTATATGGAATAATGTGGATATTTAGTCCATTGAATGATAATTCACAAATTATAAAAACTAATCTTATATGGTCAAAGAAAATTCCAGCGAAATTTCGATTTCATTGTTCTGTAAGTTATTTTATACTCATATTGTTTATATTATGCTAATGTAAGAGGATAATGATATTACGTAATGACCAATGGATGGTGGGACTATAATTTATGGACGACCTTTGAGTGACGCTAAAGTGACCTTGAGGGTGTTCACCTAGTAACTAGAACTAAATGAAGGTTATAAAACAGTGTGAGGAATTAGAATTATGATTTACAATTGATGGTTAATGTTAGGGATTAGATTTAGGGTTTTCATCACAAACTGACATTAGCCATAATACCAAAACACTATTTAGCCAAATGGATGAATGAATCTTGAGCCAAAATCCGAGATCTGTTATCTTATACATGATTGATTCGTCCATAAATTATAGTGCCGCCCAATTAATTGTATATTTATATCTCAGTATTTTAACAGGTTCATTGAGGACAGAATATCTCAATGTTAACAACTTAGACTATGAAGGTGATTGAGACAGGTTTGAATTGGATTTCATACAACGATGTAATTATACCTCACTAATAAATACTAACTAATGAAATCTCAGTCTTGGGTTTCTTTTGCCGACAACCACAAACTACTTAAAATCTCGGACTATTGAGAATATACATTGAATAGATCTAGATAATGTTGCATTGACATCACCGTAATCTAATTAGCTGATTCTTATACAGCTCATTACATAATATATTAGGAAGACATTTTATAAGAACTATGTTGTATTTATGGACAAAACAGTGAAAATTAAACACTTGAATCACGCACTGTATTTTGACCAAATATTACATTTACTTTGAGTATTGTATCATAGTAACTAATTGTTCTGAACATTATCAAAGTCGAAAATCGTCTTATTTCGAAATATTTTTTTATATATAACATAGTCATATTGTAGTGAACGAGAACACACAAATGAGATCAACCGGATGTATGTGAATATAAAATTATAAGAGGTCAGTCGCGTCGCAGATAGCTCAGTGTTAACGTCTTTGACTGTGAAGCTGTGTGACACGGATTTGAATTTGTCTGGAAGCATAAGTTCCCTCATGATTACAGATACAACTTACTGATGAGTGCCTAGTAGCACGAAATCTAGGTCCAGGATTACCTGTTGGCTAGCTCCAACCACTATCTTGTCTCAACATAGTACACGCAATGTTGACTCAATTAGACTACTGGCCACATTACAGTTTGGTCGATAGGATCTGACCTACATGACATTGATCATCATCCAGTGATTAATCAGTTGTAAATTACAGAATCCCTTAGTAAAATCTGATAACCATACAGTGAATACTTCATTTGCAAAATGTCAATCAACCTTGACTGTTCCTTCGTTTCCACATTAACCAATCTCTCTATCTTCGTTCTCTCTCTCTTCCGATCTTCTTAACCTTCTGTCGCCAGTCATATCACTTTTAATTGATGATACATACTACTGATATCTATCGATATCAATAGCATATATCACAACAATATTAATATTTAAATGAATAATGCCAAATTTTCATTATAAAAACATCATTTATGATTTATAAAGTACATTATTAGATAAGATTGTTTAAGTAATCTATACTGATACCTTAGTGATTTTAATTCTTTTCATTAAAATAGTACATCATTATTATTATTATTCAATGTACTGTTAAATAAGATTCATATTGAATACTTTTACATTCAATGAATCATAATTATTATGTTATTAGTCTATTTAGAAGAAAATGTGATCTTCATTTTTGTGATAAGGAAGTGATAATTGATGTACTTTTAACAAGAATGAGTCTCAGAAGAAGAAGAAGAAGAAGAAGAAGAAGAAGAAGAAGAAAAGAAAACGAGGAAGAAAAGGGGAAGAAAAAGAAGACGAAGAAGAAAAGAGGAAGAGAAAGAAGAGGGGGAAGGAGAAGAAGAAGCGGAAGAAAAAAGGAAGAAGTAGAGGAAGAAGAAAAGAAGAGGAAGAAAGAGACAAGGAAAAGAAGATAATGAGGATTAAATTATAGCTACAAGATTTAAAATTATACAAAATCAATAACACTATTTATAGTAATCAGTAGTTTGTAATGGAATTCAGCTAATGAGTAAATTTTGATTGAGTAGATGATAGCTTAATGTCATGATAGTGATAACTCTCTTATCATCAATGTTGATTATAGTTAAGCTCTTTTATTAACTTACTTAACAGACAATTGTATTCGAACAGTAGCAAGTCGTCTATTACTATGTGCTATTATGATCACACTATCATAATTGTATAAATGTGTATGCTTGATTAGTTGTGATATCCTACGCACATATCTCTCCCTAGCCTAAATGTTAATCGCTTAATTATTGCTTCATGAATCATTCTCTTTCCCTTGTATATTATATGTACTCCAATCCTATTATTAGATTTCACCTAGCTGCCTAGCTGCTTTTTATTCGATCTGACTATTAATTTGCCTTTGTATTTACTCACATACACATACACACACATTCGCCTACCTGCTTCAAATTCGCTTGATGTATTTGTAGCTTTGTGATACGTGCTATCCGTTAATAAACTGTATTCGCCGCTTGTTAATGCATTCTGATTTCAAATTTATATAATAACGGTTATCAAAGGTGGTTGATTGACGAAGTTAAGCCACTATATCTTATCATAACATATCAATAGTAGGATATATGTGTATTAAACTAATACGTTCTAAGTAAAATGCAATATGCATTCTAATTTCTACTCCTCACCATTATAGGGAAGATCTGTTTATGTAAATTTAAAGTGACATAAAATCCATACATTACTAAACAATGTTAAACAATTATTATGGTCTGTACACTGATGGATTTCTTAAAAAACATCTCAACATTGTAATTATTATTAATTGAGATCTTCATAAACCAGTCGACCATCCGAAGAAAGAAAAAGGGGAGAGAAAGCAGTCTTCTCTGTCTCCGGTCCTCATCTGGAATACTTCTGTCCATGCACGACCTTACAGTTTAGTCCGTCATATGAATTCGGTACGATGTTGACGATTTTCTCGGCTACTCACTTCATAGTGTCGAATAAGTTCCCACAATATTCTCTTATCCACACTGCGAAATGGTTTCTCATAATCAAAGAAGTTAATGTTTAATGAGGATTTCGATTGTTCAACGATGATCCATAGTGTCGCGATTTGATCTGGGCACGACTGAACCTTATAGAATCCAACCTGTTGATCTCGAAGTTGAGCATCTACTGAGTCTTTCATTTGGTTCATCATCACTATTGAAAACTTTTCCTGTTACTTATAGTAGTGTGATTTCTCTATAATTTTCACATTCTCTCAGATCTCCTTTATTTGCTATCTCGATGAAGTTTGTCTGTGGCACTTAACCCTCCTTCCAAATCTTCCCGAATAAAACGTGGCGTGTCTTCGCAATTACTTCTACGTGTGACTTCATTACTTCACCTGGTATGTTATCAAGTCCTACTGCCTTCCCACTCTTGATTTGTCTAATGTCCATCCTGATTTCTCTGGTTCTTATTAGAGTGAAATCCACAGGATGGTCTGTAAGTGCTGCTTCAGTGTGCAGTGGATTCAATATAGTTGGTCTATTCAATAGTTCCTCGAAGCGTTCTACCTATTTGTCCTTGAATCGCAATGATTGACTTGACTTCTTTCTTTTCCTTGATCGGTCCCTCTGGTTTAATATATTTCCCTACCAGTTTCTTCATTATATCGTACAGTTGTCTGATAAATATCCATTCAACTGATCACTGTTTGCTGAATAGAATAGCTTATGAAACTAAAAGGAGCATAGATTATCCAAATACAAAGTTTAAAAAATGAAGTATACTTCAAACATTATACACGTAATTCAAGTGGATAACAACTAACATTTCAGTCTACTAAAATGTTAGGGAGATATAGGTTAGGAGTTTCCTTATTACTTACTTACTTACTTACTTTCTTACTTGCTTACGCCTGTTACTCCTCATGAAGGAGCATAGGACACTCACCATCATTCTTCAACCAACCCTGTTCTGGGCATTCCTTCCCAGCTCTTTCCAGTTGTTATTCATCCTCTTCATATCTGATTCTATTTACCGTGGTAATGTGTTCATTGGCCTTCCTCTTTTCCACTTCCCTTCAGGATTCCAAGTTAGGGCTTGCCTCGTGATGTAGTTTGACGATTTGCGTAATGTATGTCCTATCCATTTCCATCGTTTTTCCCTAATTTCCTTTTCAGTTGGAAATTGGTTTGTTCTCTCTCAAAGTAGGCTGTTACTGATGGTATCCTGCCAATGGATGTTGATTATCTTTCGTAGTCAGCTGTTTGTAAATACTTGTATCTTCTTGATGATGGTTGTAGTAGTTCTCCAAGTTTCAGCTCCGTACAGTAGAACTGCCTTGACGTTGGTGTTGAAGATTCTCACTTTGATATTGATTGAAAGTTGTTTTGAGTTCCATATGTTCTTCAATTGTAGGAAGTTTCCTTATTAACACAAGCTATTTATCATAATTTGTATTACAAGTTTTTATCTTTTCGTTACTCCATCTATTCTATTTCTTAGTTCTTACCTTATTACATATTTAATAATGTGAATTATCTTTAAATCGCCCATCAAATTCACTTGGTATTCTTTACTTGTATCTTCCTGTTGTTGTCTAGGGTTGTAATTGGTCAGTCTCTTATTGAAATATGTGAATTCTATACAGACTGTATCGTTATTGCCTTCAGTCACTTATATCTTGGAAATCTCTTGTTTCAGCTCTTTATAAAGTTTTACAGTTTATCTTTCAGTTTATCTACTTTTTGTTTTTTTTAATTAAATAATTTATACTACTTAAATTCTATTTTAGTATTGCAATCATATATGGACATCGAAAAAAGGATATATTAATATATTTATTGGTCATCGTCCATTAAACAGAATAATTGATCAATCCGGTTATATAATTAATATTTATGAATTTCTATTCTCTTTAGATCAACAGAAATGTACTCAATGTAATTCGAATAAATTAATTTCAGGATCAACATATCCACATGAAGTGATAAAAGTAAGTGAAATAATATGGAAATAACTTTTATGATTTCTATGGTTATAAAATGTTAATAAACGGTTCTATAGAAATTGTTGAATATGAAGTACCACATCAAAGACTAATGTCACTTAGAACAAATGTTGAAGACCAAGAGATACTGAGTAGCCATTCCATCCTAGAATGGGGCCCCTTACCAGTGAACAACCACGACCCTGCTGAGGACTTTCAACGATCATGGTGGACACTTAACTTATTGACCAACAAGTTGTCATCTGATGGTTTACAATTTCAAATTAAATTGTTTTGCAATATCGCATGATGGTTATCTATTAACACTAGTAATATTTATCTCAAATCCAACATGAATGAACCCCACTGTACACTGCGTCTTACTATAACTCTTGGAATTTATTGAGTCAATCATTAACAAACACAAGGTAATTGTTATCGTAGGGTGTTTTGGAGACTGATGATATTGAAATTTCACGACAAGGACTGACATTATTACACACACATCAATAAATTCATGTTATATGAAATGACTGTTTGAAGGAAGAAATTTTTTAAAGTGTAATTTACTTATCTCACTTCATTAATTAATGATCAACCAGTATTTGTGTTATATCCGAGCCAAGATTGAATCACGAGTATTAATTGCCTAATATTATCTATACATTCTTATGGTGTTGGTGTTCTGGACTCAAGTGGACGGGCTAGGCGTATATAGGACTAATAAGGACGCTAGGCTGTCCATACCGGTCGAAAGTCATTGGTTTGGCACATTGCTAAGATTTGTATAAGTCATATTTTGATTGATAGATAAATCATGTGAGAAAAAGCTGGACATAAAGTCACAACAGTTTGCTCATATTTCTCCCACATTAGAATTATTAAGTAGGTAATTTTTTATTTGGAATTTCTTTCTGTTCAAAATGAGTTTTTCAACAGTTAAGGATTAACTAATTGGAGATCTGTTTGATAATATCGATTTCAAATAGTTTTTGCAGTGTATTCTACTAATGGAAAACTTGAAATTTAAAATTTTTTCGTCATATGAAAGAGTCTTAATCCTTGTAGTCTTTATTGGTCAACTTTTAATAGTTGAAGGTGATTAACACGAAGTTCTGAATACCTTAAGTTTTTTACTCTTGAAAGATTTTCAGCAAGAAAGAAACTAGTGCATTCTGTCGCGTTTCATTGAAACAGTTAGAACTGTATCACGTATGGTTATTCAGAACGCATGTTAATATAGTGTGCAACTTCTTCATTGATCATTGATGAACAGGAACTATACAATCAACGTTTAATATCCATAACTTAAATGTACGTACAGTGGGACTATAATTTATGTACGACATTTGAGTGACGATAAAGTGACCTTGATAATGTTCACCTGCTAACTAGGACCAAATGAGGGTTATAAATCAGTGTGAGAAATTAGAGTTATGATTTACAGCTGATGGTCAAGGTTAGGAATTAGATATAAAGTTTTAATCACGAACTGATATGAGCTAAAATCGTAAAACGCTCTATAATCAAATGGATGAATGAATTTCGTGCCAAAATCGAAGACATGTTATTTTATACCTAATTAATTCGTTCATAAATTTTTGTTAAAACTTGATCACAATATCATTAAAGTTGCAAATGTAAATCATCGGATACCAACTCAGTGGTCTAAGATTTATAAGCGTTTATCACGAGGATTGAACGTTCTGAGTTTTATCGTTGGTGAGTTCGTGTGTCTGAGAACTGTAGAAGTGTCTCGTGATAAGATGGAACAGATGTCCAGTGCATCTTACTTTGCAATCGTCGTCAAATTAAAGTCAGTCAGTGACATAAAATCACACTATTCTCATCAAACTGGAAGATAATTTGATATACTTTGAGACATTCACATGTAAACCACTTCTTTACAAACTATAATTTTATGGATAAAACATCCCTTTTTTTTTCAAATATACACCCGTTTTTTAGGTTTTAACATACATTCGAAATTATATTACTATTAAACCGATACATTTCAATACAACTCAATATGGATTCCAAATTGAATTTTTGAAAAATTCATTTACTTTTAATCAACAAAAGTCCATAAACAAAGAAACCATTAATTCTCAGATCGTATCCAATAGTAACGGTGAGACATTCAAAGAAATCTGCTCAACGAAAAACGATCAATTCTTTGATTCTTTAAAAAAGTCCAGTGAAATTTCAAAGTTCATTAAACATTCAAAAAATTACCCATTCAATGAAGCAAGTATCGAATGTAATCATCATACTTTATCTATTACTGAAGGAAAATCATCAGTACAATTATTAAAAGACAACAATCAAGAAGTTATTATGACTAAAAATAAATTAAATAACATGAACAAGAATGATACAAAGAACCGGTCAGTTTGAAATACATTCCTAAACCTACCGAACTTGAATGTACAACAATTGATGATTTAAAACAAACTGGAAATCAGATCGATAAGAAGATGTCAATTCGTGGATCGTATTATGTTTGATATGAATTTACTGACTCTGTTAAGATTTTACATTCTCAGTATATTCTTTTTTGTTGAACATTTATCATATTCCCATCTGAAGTTGTTTTACTATAAGCGCCATTCAAACATAGAATCAAAATTATTTTAAAGTGTAATAATTAGACATAAAGAAGAATTGAGAAACTTTTAGTCAAATGTTCTCATTTCTCTAGTCATTGTCTATGTAGATAAAAGTGTTATTTCCTAGCAAAGATTACATTACGAGTAACCTCTGAGACCTATTAGTGAACTAATATTATTTATATATTCTTATGGTATAACTATTCAATAATTAGATTATGTATATTTATACTCCCCTTGTTATAAGCTTTATTTTGACCTATAATTTATTATTGTACGCTTTACGGTTCTTAAGCTATGTTCAGTTTATTGACTACTGCCTCCCACGTTCACAGTCACTTTTTGGCTTTATTGTGTACAAATGTTATTTTCTATTTTATGGTGCGTTGCGATCTGTTTGATTGATATATAAACCCAGTATGTCTGAAATAAATGATTCGATTCGATTCATATTACAGAAGCTGCTATTGTGTTCCGGACTCAAGTGGACGGGCTAGGCGGACATAGGACCAATAAAGACGCTAGGCTGCTCATGCCGCTCGAACGTCATTGGTTTGGCACTGTGTGAAGGTTGTATAAGTCATATTTTGATCGGTGAATAAATCACGTGATAAAAGCCGGACATAAAATCACAACAAATAGATGATTAATTATTATCATATTCTGTTTTACTAATAGTTATGTTTCTCATAATGAACTGTTGATTGATCTTGTATTTCTTCTATTATATTACTGCTCAATTTCAATCGATTCTTTACACTTTGATTTTTTTGTTTGCTTTACTGATTTCTCACAGGTTAAATGTTAAATGATGACTTTTTATGATTAACATTATTTGGTATCTGGTTTATATTATTGCAAAAAGTATCAGTCAACAATAGATATCAGTTTTCGAAACGCTGAAATCTATTTTTGTGTCTTGAAAATTGAAATAAAGCATAAAAATACTTGTGAAGATGCCACAGGTATTCGGAGTTTGACAACGCTTTAACCGGTAACACTTGATATGAATCGTACCCACCAAGTGAAATCAAAAGACAGAAGCGAAGTGGTCCGAAGATATATTTGATAGACTATCGATATATCGAGGATTGTCTGATGTAATCTGGCTAGCGATTGCATGGGTTGTTGAGCACGGCGTTCCAACTCGTGATTAGGTGCGATGCATGACCGAGCGCCTTCAGCTAGGTGAGTCCATTAAAACTAATGTGGTCAGCATTCAATGTTGAAGACTTACAGAGCTATTTATTTTGGGGATTAATTTACCGCTACATTTGAGCTACCTGTTCCTATCATCTGGATATTTTCAACAAGTCATCTGTTTTCTTATTTGTTTTAACACATCGTAATGATCATTAGTCGCCTAACCTATAGAGGAGCGTTTGTGAAACGTTTAAGACATTTTGTTGCATAAGTTACAGAAAGGTGAATCAGAGATATCGCGATTGCGGCAATATGCATAGAAAATAATGTATATTATTCAAATGACAATTCCTGAAATGCTAACATTTAGTTGGCGATCACTCAATATTTATCGTCAGTGTAGATCAAGAAATAAGGAAAGGAAACTTGTTGAAATACTTTGTGCTGAGAATTCTGCATTGTACCAAAAAAGTATTGAATAAAGACGATAATAATATTTAATGCATGAACTAGTTTACTTCATGGGTCTTTTAATCACTTCAACGTTGAATGTAATTGTACCCTTCCATAATATTCTTAAGTTGTCGACCTTTTACAATTTCTTTACATTTATTAAGACTATTGGCCAAATATATATTAACAAAACAGTCTCGCCTGTAGCTTCAAAATATAACCGTTTATTTATTGAGGAATACCACAAACTAGATCGTAAAACTTGGGCAAGTAGTTTTCATTTCTTACATTTTGAAGATATCACGAATATTCAGTACTTGATATCGTTTTTGTTATTAACAATTGTCATCGATGATTCTAAAGCCAATCAAACTAGAGCTCAGCAATAAAATGTTTTGAAACTATATTCTGAGGATGGTCGATGTGTCGAGAAGTATATGACCTGAACTGTAACTCCTGAGTATTCACTGTCAAAGCATGTGTAATAATTTATATGAAGTGAGTTTCAGTATTTCGCCAGTCAAAGCATATGTGTATTTCCAGGTGTTCCGGATACTTCGCCTGTTTCCTTCTTTAAATTGTACCTCGATCCTTCCTTAGTAGAAAATACCATTCGTTTGACAAGTGACCGCTCCATGTTTTTGACGACTAGACAACTTTATGTATTACGGGTCTTTTGTATAAACTGTTATGAGAGTTGATGAATGTGCCTGTTGGAGACACTACTTAACTCTTTTTATACATACATTTAACTCTTTGACAAAACTTTTATACGCTTCTATATCATGTTTGTATTTTTAATTTTTTTACCACTTACTACCATATCATACAATAAGACCGAAAAAACAGTAAACTTTGGAGCCAGCAAGATATGACTACTGAAATTCGTAAAATCTTTGGTTGAACGGCAAGTTCTAAATCGATGGTGGTATATTTGCTTTATTAAAAAGTTTGCTATGTTGTCAACGATGCTCTTTAGGTTTTTAAAATACGACACTTTGGGCAATGACTTTTTCTTGTTGACAGAGGTGAAATGATTCTATCAATTAACTTAATTCGGTACTCCTTTCGTGCCTTAAGGTAACCCTCGTGCTATTGATAGAAGAAACCAGAGAAGTAGTGAATAGGTCTTTATTTCGATCTTCGCGCAGTCACAGTGGAGCGTGGGATTATCTGTTCAGACAAACAAAGGCTCTCAACATTCAATATAAGATATTAGGGAATATAACGCTTATACAAAATAAGGGAGTGAATGAATACTTGAACAATACTGTTTTGGCATATGCTTGGTTGTTTGCGGTCAACTCTTAACCAACCAACCTAAGCTTTTACACTCCTTCCTTGTGTATACTCATCGACTTTAATCATGTTAGTGAGTGACGCAACTTAATAAGTCATATATGAGAATGGATTTTTGAAAACATAGATTTTGTACACGCAACGATCTGGACAGACAGTCAAAGGAATGAAGCGAAGAGAAGAAAGCAAAGTGAAATAACATGCAAAGGAGTAGGCTTGTGAGCCACCTGATTTAATCAAGTGTTAATCATTATTTACAGTCAGGTTATAGACATGTGATTAATGGGATAAGAGGTGAACACACATGCGCTCAAATAAAAACAGCCAGGGTAGACAAATGAATGATGAACAAGTTCAAAATGTGAATCAAGAATGAAAAAACTGTCTTTTCTAAAAGCTGGAATAAGCTATGTGCGCTTCACATAGCAACCGACACTGGAGTTATTATAGAAGAACCAAAGTCAACTTGGTCACTTTTAAAATTACTTAGTGATTAATTGGCATCTGATATGCCCTCCGTTTCTCGTCCTTAAAAGCACAGAATTTACGAAGACACTATAAAAATATTTAAATACACAGAACAAATTACTTGTTAGCTGACTATCGAATATCCCACATTCACCAACAAATGAAACTCATTGCATCAACACGTCATTGAAGCTCCATCTATCAACGTTTTCAAAACGAAGTTGAATCAATTGAGTAACTATAACTTCCAGTGCTAAAACTGGACACTGGACCTTTAGTCTGCTCCAAAAGAAACTTCAAATGGTTCAAATGTTTGTGGACGGAATAGAAGGATCTTTCGCTTAACAGGCCTCCGTGTCTAGTAGCGGAGATCACGAATAACTCCAGGCAGGAACCTACGTATGTTAACGATAAAAGAGGAAATAGAAACAGGTAGATCAAAGTAATATACTATCCGTAATCCTTAAAAATAGATCAAGTTGCCTCTTAAAGGACTCCTGAGAAGTCGCTTGGACCAGTCCAGTCAGCAGCAAAGTCCAGCATTTGACAACTCTTAAAGAGTAGAGGTTGTGTCTACAGTCCGTTCTGCTATATTGTGTCTCCAGGTTTTGGGTGTTACCCCTTAGGTTAGTGTTAGAACCAAGCTTAAGAAGTTGTTTAAGGGGATGTCTAGAAGTGTTAATGATATTGTAAGCCATCAGAATGTCACCTCTAAGATGCCTATAATCTAATGGGTATAGGTTAAGTGATTGAAGGTGCTCTTCGTAAGGTTTGAATTTGAGTCCTCGAACTGATTTCCAGGCTCGCTGTTGGATACTATCCAGAGTGGCCTTATCCTTTTAGAGTGAGGGAGGAAATACTATATTTCCGTACTCTAAATGGGGACGGATAAAACTGTTGTAGATTATATGGAAAGTTCTTCCGTCAAACCGGCCAAAAATGCGCTTCAATGTTACCAGTGCAAGGTTTGCTCCCCTTCCGATCAGCGATGCTTGTCCATCTGTCCAACGCAGTCAGCAGGTTGGTCACATAAGATTTACCCTCCCTGAAACCATGCAGTTGGGGTGAGAAGAAATGTAAGGAAAGTAAATAGTCATTCATACCATCGCATATCAGGGACTCCATGTGTTTTGAAGGCATAGAGAGAAGAGCCACCGGTCGGTAACTTGAAGTTCCATTGCGTCGACCTCCTTTGAAGGTTGGTATGATGTGATCCAGCTTCCAATTTTCCGGTACTTTTCCTCGACTTAGCGAGTGTGAGAACATCACGATAAGCGGCATTGCTAGGATTGAGGCTGTCTCCCTCAGTATAGCAAAATGAACTATATCTCGGCCAGAAAAAGTGTCTTTCCTTAGGTGATGCAGTATCCGGAACACCAAGTCAGTGATCAGGTTCACTACGGAAAGTCCTTTGGAGTTGCAGAT